ATGTTGTTTTTTCGCTCTAGTTTTCTATAGAAAACAACTAGAATATTTGTTTCTCCCTGTTGTAGGTTTCAACCAATATTTGGATGGTCTTTGGAAAGACAACATTGAAGAACAAAGGCAATTAGTGGTGCTATAGGAGGCAGTATCAGGGACAACTTGTTGCTGATATGTGTGGAGGTAGAGTCAAAGTTGACGACTATTTGGCTAGGGGGTATGGAAGGGGAAGAGCAACATATGGAATATTTGAGATACTTGGATACATTTCATTGTAGGATTCGAGAATTTAAATGGATAAACCTAGATTTTGATTTCAAATACAACTTATCGACAGAAAATTTAAAATAATATTGATGAGAATCCCTAGAAAGGCAAGCCACCTTAATTCCTGTTCTCCTCTCTATTGTCATAAAGAGGTCCAAATTATTTGCTTCTTGATTTTGATAATCATGCATTCAGTTGACGATTCATCATTCTTTTGTAGACTTCTGGTGACTTGATATTCGATCTTTATGGTCGATTTGGAAATTGCTACCATTGACATTCTTCATGGGTCATACTTCCAAAATTTCATTGTTCCTGACCCCTCTGTTCCAAGTTCTTGAGCAAAGACCATCCATCAATAGTCTAACTAATAATTCATTTAATCTAATCCCCAGATTACTTTTCCAAGATACCTTCTCACTGACCAGCTAATGTATCAAAACCTCTCGTCAAAAGTGGGCTCTTGGTTTCTGTGTTGACTTTGTCTCCATTACTAGATGCTAACAAAGAAACCCTAGAGGGGTTGAAAGAAAAAATAGCATTAGACACCTTTGTTATTCTATTATCTTTGGGTTATGTTCTCTGCTCAAGAACTTGAAAGATATTAAAGGTTAGGCTTGGGTTGTTTTTTTCCCCTTAAGATTCTCTAAACTACAATTATGGCATAAAACCATCATTTTTGTCTTTCTATCCTTATGGTTTGCATTAGTGAATTGATTCAATGCGGTTTAAAATCACATGCCAATAATTCAAACAAAAGGGAAGTAGATAGAAAAAAGCTGCACCTTATTCATAATTGTTTTCATACTGATGCAAGCAAACTAGATAGAAAAGCCAGATAAGGAGAACGATGGGCAAAACTATAACCAAACTCGATTTAAATAGTAGCAATCATCTATAACATCAAAACCGACGGATAAAACGAGAAGAGAGATCAAAAGAAACAAAAGAAATACAAAAAGACGCTATCCTCATAACAACCGACAGAACGGTTTCCTCACATGCATCGAAATATAGGTTAAGCAAAGTATGTGCTTAGGGCTAGCAAACCGATGGTCCACCATAACAAGATAGTCCAAACATCCAACCAAACTCCTCCAGCAAATGCTCCCAAATCAGCCAACAAAGACCTCCAAAGCTCGAGAAGAATAATACAAATGGAGTGGAACTTGCGTAGAGAAGAAAGTGGTAAGAAGCCCAGACGAAATAGAGGAGAAGAAGAAGTGGACAAAGCTCTCAAGCTTTTCCAAGAAGAAGAAAACCCTCAGGTTTTTAAAGAGACTAAGCTCAACCAAATTCAACAACCTTTCCCCTCAAAAATCATCTTCTATTTATAGGCAAGAGAGGGGAACCAAGTAGCCATAACACATCCAACTAAACCAATTAGATTTAGGGAAATGAAAGGCCAACAGCCACATAACCTCAGTCCCCAAACGGCACAGCAAAACAGAGAAGAAAGCCCACGGGAACCAAGCAGAAAAGCCACGGAACCGAGCAGCCAGCCGCAGAACCAAGCAGCCAGCTGCAGAACCGAGCAGCAGCTACAGGAACCAAAGAGGCAAAAGCACGGGAAAACCACCCAGCACAGGAAACCAACAGTCAGCCACGGGAACCCAAGGGACAAGGCACAGGAAAACCACCAGCACAAGAAAACAAATAGACAAAGGAGAGGAGAAGAGGCAAGTCCACTCCAAAATGAATCCAAGACTTAAGATCATACCTTTTTAGATTAATGAGCTATGAAGTGCAATAAATCTCCCATTTAATGAACTAAACCTCAGCTCAACATTAGTGAGCTAGCATCTTAGGAAAATAAAGCTCAACTCCAATAAACCACCACCTCCCATCATCATCTTCAGCTCAAATCGAGAACCATAAGCCAACCCAAGAACCAACAACAGTCCAAAGGACCAATCAAGCTAGCAAATCAAAGGTCTACCAAAGCCCAAGCACAACCTACCATGATCATTGGATGCCTTCCATCATTGGATAGCTAAAAAAATGTAAAAATTAAATAAAATACTAATGTTCAATATTTGGAAATGAAAATACATAAATTATGATTGCATCACATACCCTATTAATAAATTGTATTCATTGCCTTTTAAAAAATTTTAAATTATAGTGGATTGTCTGGCTGTCTGACTCTGTCAAGTTGCATTAGCATATTGTTCTTATAGGAATTCTGATTAATGCATTCTGTCTTTTTTATCAACTCTATTTTATATGACTGTTTGTTATTTAATGAACCCTGAAAGACTAAATTTTTAAATTTAAGTGTTTGATTTTGGTGTGAAGTTTCATTTTATGCACTATTATAATACTGGTGTTTGCAATGCATATAAATAAATGAACAATTTATGGTTAATCGTTGCATTGTGAAGTGTGCAACAAATTTCCTATCTTATGCATGTAATTTGATCGCCTTCTATGTCTTCAAAATTATGTAGAATGCATTTGTAGATCGGTTCTTTCATGTAAAACAAAACATAATCAATGAATTGATCTCTGCCACTGCATAATATGTTTTTGTATTTGATGTTAATTCTAACTATTATAGATCTTTTCACAAAACTTATAGCCTCATTACTTTTGGTTCTGTTTTTTTTTTTTTGGGGTTTTTTTTTTCAAGGATTTAAACTATAGACCTCAACTTTAAAGTTTGAAGACGATACCTCTCATCCAAATAATTTGTAGTTTTGGCTTCCTCTTTCCTTTCACATTTTCTTTTAAAAATTTTGTTCGCCTCACCTTCAGCTCTATTATACATTGCCGAGTAGATGAATTTATTCTTAATAACATTATCTTAATTATGTTTTATGGCCGCATTCTTTCTACTTGCATTCATTTGAGGTATATGCTTCTTAGTTCTTTCGTCAATCCTTCATAACATTCTCTTTTGGGTTTCCATCATTTAGCACTTTTATATATCATAAGCACTACTTTCTAACGGTTGGTTAAGTTTTTTTCTATTATTTTTTTTCCATATGAGCTAAACTTCTTTTTCTTTTAGTTAAAAAAATGTTTTTTTGAAGAAGTTGATTCTCTTTTAAATATACTTTTACAAGGGGGTGATCAAGGGGCATTCACATTCCATAGCCATAGGTGAAATGATCAAATTTATGAATGATGAATCATTGCAAAAGCATTTGCTGAGATTATTTCTATTAATCAAGAACAAAAGTTGGGTTCCAAGACGATCTGATATGTTCCTAGTCTCAATCATAAACAATGATGACCAGGAACAACTAATGTTGCTCCTTGTGAGAAATCAAAGTTTTGGATTTCGGGAAGTGGCTACTAAACTTTGTTGTTTGTTCATCCAGTGGATATTTATAAACAAAAATGATGTCTAGCAATTAGAAAATTATACGATTCTTAAGGAGAAATAATTACATTGAATGATATCTCGTCTTATTTAATAAAATCTATCTATCTATCTATCTATCTATCTATCTATACATTCTATTCTTGCAGCAAACGTCCCTCCAAGTTGCCAATCCGTGGGAACAGACATTCCTTTCTTGTTTCTGACTTACCTAAGAATATGAATTGGCAATCTTCCCTTCATTCTGCTTGAGGTGATTTTGCTAATTCCTTTATTGTTTTTGCCAAGCAACCTATCCGTGGATTTGCATTCTCAGCACTACTTTTTGGTGCTTAAGCTTTTTCTATTATTATTTTGCAATTTGAACTATATTATTTTTCTTGTAGTTCAAATATATATATATTCTGAAAGAAGTAGATTCTCTTTTAAATTTCTTTTTTTATACCATTTCATTCATGTGTTTATTATTTTGAAATCATCATATATTTTAAAAATCCTGTATGTCATCTTTCAACTTGTTATCTTCTATCATCCCCACATCGTGAATTCCCAAAGCCCATTCTACTAGCGATTGCATGTCTATTTAAATCCTTAAAAATAATATTCTGTTTTTCCTTGGGTATTGCAATACTAATTTAACATGTCAAGTTCATGTTCCATCTGATATTGAATTGGGGTACAATTAAACCCGATACCTACCTATTTAGGGTCGTTGGGATCACTTTTTAAATTGAAAATTTTGTTTATATTTTGATACAAAAGAAAAATATTTTTGGTATCCAATAAGCGTTTTTATTATTGAATGTTGCATAAGTTAATCATGGTGAGGGTGGCAGCCGACAGTAGTAGTGGCTGGTGGTCGGATTGATTTTCATTTAAAAAAACTAAAAAAATGCCGAAATGTTGTTTCTTATATTTTAAAAAATAGCTTTAGTTGTTTTCTAAAACAAAAATTAACTTAATCAAACATCTTTTTCTAAAGACAAAAACAAAAAAGTTATTCCAAACAACCCTTTAATAATGGTTGCGAACTAGCTGGAGCTTACTCTGTCCAAATGAAGACAAGGTTGATATGAGCAGAACTAGCTTGACCAAAAAGTTAGAAGGAAGTATGCTGAGTCTAGGCGATGAAGACTGGCTAGTATAGGCTTTCTGTAATTAGCATGTTGATTTTTTTTTCCTATCAGTTATTTTAGTTGACAAGGGCTTTTCGAAGTTGTTCATAAGGTCTTGGGTAGAGTCTTTCCTACACATTGATGAATCCCAGGGAAGTATGTTGATGTTTTTTTTTTTTTTTTTCGCGGCACCAGTTCATCACTTATTATTTCCTTCTATTGTTACTTCTATGCGTGCATGATTAATGTCAATATGCAATATCTGCTATTAAAGCCTAACCTGACATATCATTCAGGTCTTTGACATTTCCTTTCTACAAATATTTTCTCCACATGAATTGGATTACCTCATCTGTGGCCGCAGAGAATTATGGGAGGTAATTCAAACCCCTTTTCTTCCACTTTTGAACGTTTTGTGTCATTATGGTTTTGTTTGGGACGACTTTTTTACCGCTTCTTAAATCAGCTTTCTAGTACAATAAATAAAGTTTTATACTAGAAAGTTGCTTTAAGTAGCAGTGAGAAAGCCGTCCCAAACGAAGTCTATATCTCCTTAACCCAAAGAAATTTCTTGAATTTGTGGTTTGTATGTTCTAGGCTGACACACTGGCTGATCACATCAAATTTGATCATGGATACACCGCCAAAAGTCCAGCAATTATTAATGTATGTACCTTTTTTTCTTCTTCCATTCCTTTGTTTTTTTGGGGCTATTACATACATAACTTCTAAAATTTGTCTGTCTACAAAATTAATACACTCTTTTGCATCTATTTTTCAAACTTTCACATAAATATCAAAATTCATCACAAAACTCCAACCCATTTTTTTTCACTTTTTGGCCAAATTTCAAACATTTTGATCATAGCAAGCACAAATACACCGTTCAAAAAAAAATGCCATGGTGTTATCTTTGTAAATAGACAAATTTTGAGTGTCTTGTATGAGATTCCCCCCCTTTTTTAAATTAACAGCTGCTGATGTTCTGTTGATCTTTTGCTTAGTTGCTCGAGATTATGGCAGAGTTCACTCCAGAGCAGCAGCATGCTTTTTGCCAGTTTGTGACAGGTGCTCCCAGGCTTCCACCCGGTGGCTTAGCTGCTTTAAACCCAAAGCTGACCATAGTGAGGAAGGTACTACAATGTTTCCATCTCTCACTGGCACTGGATTTATTGTTTACATAAAAAACAAATTTAGAAATCATAATGTGCAAACAAATTGTATTACTCGTGACATTCAGGCTTCGTTTGGGACGGCTTTCTTTCTGCTTAAAGCAGCTATCCAACACAAAATTTTTAATTTATGTACTAGAAAACTGCTTTAAGAAGCAGTAAGAAAGTCGTCCCAAACGAAGCCTTAGATACACTGTTAGACAATAGTTGCTAGTCATTTTTCCTTTTTTTTTATTGGGCAATCCTGAATGTCATAGTGGAATTTGCTGATGCATCAAACTTCATTTTTTAGATTTAAATTTATTAACTTTTCTACTTGCTGGCAGCATTCTTCAACAGCAACAAATACTGCGTCTAATGGATCCGTAATATCTGAAGCAGCTGATGATGACCTGCCAAGTGTCATGACTTGTGCCAATTTTCTCAAGCTCCCTCCTTATTCCACCAAGGTTTCCTTTCATGTCTTTTTCTTCTTTTTCTAAAATCATCTGATATGAATAATTGTTAAGGGGTATTTTTAATAGGTCATTAGTTACTAGTGAGTTCAATTAGTTTATAGATCATTATACATGTTAGATGGTTTAATGGATTATTAAGTGTTGTCTTGTCTATAAATACCCTTCTTTTGGAGAAATTATTATGTGCACATTGGACCGTTCAGAGGCAAATCAGTGCGTGCCACATCACCTGGTACATAGCCATGGTACACAGCAAATGGGTGACATGATGTGCTCTGATTTGTCTTCGGATGGCATCCGTATCCGCACAAAATAATTTCACCTTCTTGTGATGAAAATTATGGCATGGAAATAATAAGTAGACCGGCTTCGATTCCTATTCCCTTTCTCCATCATTTTCTATGGAGTCATAGGTATCCTCAAATTGCCTAGAGTTTCAAGAAAGTAACCTAGTTATATTTTTCATTGTTTTCAGTGTTTTCTTCACATCATCCTCCCACCTTTGCTGCTTTACTAACTTGGCTTTTGCAGGAAATTATGTACAAGAAACTTCTATATGCCATAAATGAAGGACAGGGATCATTTGATCTTTCTTAAGCCGAAAGACTACATTGTTATTACACATTTTTGCAGCCTATAAGCCCTCTCGTAATAATGTGGTAGGCATCCGTTATTATTCTTTCTTTCTACGCTCATTCTGTTTATTCTGTTTTGTTCTTTTAATCTATCGCGATGCAGTTGATACAGATTACAGAGGTTATTGTTTTATTTGACTAGATGGAATTTTGGAGAAAGAGAAGGGACGGCTTTCAGCAAAATTTGTAAATAAAGTGTTTTTTTTTTAATTTATTTTTTTACTTTTTCATTTATGAGCTTTAGCTCGGCAGTAATTTACTTTCATGATAATAACATATTGGTAGTAATTATAAGGGCATTGAATTGTGGTAATCAGTCTGCTTGATAATGTTCAAATGCCTGCGTTTTAGATATAAATGAATTCTATGATAGTAAATCAAATTAATTGATATTTTTTATGAGGAAAAAACTTATGTTATCACGAGCTCTTAAATTTGATTTGAGATACATACAATGAATACTATTTATGCATTTCATTCATCTTAAATAAGATTTTTTAAGCATATTGAAATTCATCATCATAGAAAAGTTTAGTCGGTTTTTTTTCATGTGGCATGCATCAATTGATGGCGGTTGGAAGATGGTGGTAGATAAAAATTATTTTTGTGCGGATGAATGCTGTCTGGAGATGAATCATAATGCGTCACGTCACCTCTTCGCTCGGTACCGTGGTTTGGTAATGCTGACGTGTTTGCGCCTAATTCGTCTTCGGATGTAGAGCTGTGTCCGGCCTCTGCACAAAATAATTTCTCGGTGGTAGATGGTGGCAATTGGCAGATTATAGGTTGAGTTTTCTTGCAGCGGAAATTTTGCCTGATTTGGAAAAGAGCTTAAAAAATAAGAATGATTTTTCATTAAAGAACTTGTTTGTCTTTGGGGAACTTAAAAAAAACAATACAAATAATAAATGTTATAGAGTGATCAAAGGGTTTTTTTGATTGTAATGGTAGGCTAGAAAAGGAAAGAAATATTTTAATTATACATTTTAATGTACTTGACAAAGTAAATTTAATACAAAATAATTTTTTTAGTTTAAATTCAATAAAAGGACAGGTCATCTGATTTTGTGACCTGAAAAATTTTCACAAAACCTTTAAAATTTTCTTCAGGTTGTCTTTATATAGAAATTTGACTTCTTTTGAGATAAATTTAATATAATTGTAATTTAACATATATATTTTAGATGTCTATTAAATTTTAAATTGACTTTAATAATTTCAAAGTCCATCCTCATCAAAATTAATAAATTTATCATAACATATTTTTGTGGTAAATTTGATTATTTACCCATAATGCCCAATATTCAAAAAAATATATGCGTTATTTAATTTTTCAAGAAAATATGCATAAGAGTTCTTTTCAGATTAAAATGTCCAATATAATTAAAATTGATTTGAACATAATTTGAATAAATTTTAGGTTTTGTTTGGGATGGCTTTCTTACTATTTCTTAAAGCTGTTTTCTAGCATAAAAAAATATTTTTTTTATTAGAAAGTTACTTTCAAAAGTTGTAAGAAAGCTGTCCCATACGAGAACTTTTATTAGAACTGGTGTCCTGATGTAGCTCTACAGCCGGACACCTATTATATGGCGCCACGTAGTAGCTCGAAAATCTGACGCAAACCCATCTAATTCACGTGTTTTAAACTATTTCAGGTCAGCCAGACGTAGTGTATATGAATTGGGCGCAAAAAGTTAAAAATATGCGCCTTCTTTACATGTATAATAACATTTTGGGGTATTATTCTAAAGACGTTATACAGTTTTTAGGCTTTATATTCTACAGAGAAAGATATCGTGAAGGGTTCGAGGAGATGGAAGATTCGAAAATGGTTTTCTCTTTGGAAGATTCGGAAGATTTCGAGGAAACTGCAGGGACGTATAATGTTGATGAAGTTTTTTCTCGTTTTTTTCTTGCTTCATTACGGATATAATCGGAGAAATATCGCGATTATGTATAACTCTAAACTGAGCATAATCATGAGTAAGGATTTGTGTACCGAGTTAAACGTTTGAAATAACTCGGTACATATCGGTACTTATAGGTAATGCTCGGTATGAACTCATTGCACATAAGTACCGAGCAAATCAAACATCGATGTAAATAATACCGATCTTAGTAGAGAGAGAGAGAAATATTTGAACTTATTGGTACTGCTCGGTACTGATAGGTATCGCTTTGTATAATATTGTTATATATCTCGGTACCGAGTAGATCCAAGGTATTAATTCCTAATACCGGTCAAAGAAGCTGCTCGGTATTAAATCGGTATTGAGTTGTACATGTAATGGTAAATTAACGTTATGAATTACATGAATTTTTCTTTAACAGTGTGTTTACAACTCTGAGAAGGAAGCATATGATAAATATTGCTAGTACGCGCATTATCATGGATTTAGTGTTCGGAAAGAGCATTACTCGTTCTGGCCAAATTCAAGGAAAATCAAATCAAAGGATTTTGTGTGTTCCAAAGTAGGATTCAAGAAATAGACTAACAAGAATAAGAAGGTTAAATATCGAAAATCATGTACACGAACCGGATGTCTAGCGATGTTTAGATTTTTGGTTAGAGAAGATGGGATTTGGATGGTGAATAAATCCATAGAGAGTCACAATCATGAACTGGCTAGGCCGGATGATCAACATTTGCTTAGGCCATCTAGCAACATTACTGTTGAGAATGCACCTGTTTTAAAATCAATGTCAAAAGCGGGGATAAAAATAATTAATGCATTTACATACCTATTCGATGAAGTGGGAGGTGTAGGTAATCTGGGGTTCACAAAGAGGGATTCATACAACTACATTCAAAAAGAAAGAAGAGCTAAGATTGAGAATGTGGATAATAATTCACTAATCCAATTGTTTAAAGAATGGGCAGTTGATGACAACATATTTGCCTGAGATGTGTAAACTGATGAAGATGATATGTTGTTTAATTTTTTTGGGTTGATGGACTGGGGAGAATTGATTATGAATGCTTTGAGGATGTGATTATTTTTTATACAAGTTATCGTTTAAACAAATATAACTTAGCCTGTCCCCCTATTGTTGGAGTGAATAATCATTGGCAAAATATTCTATTGGGTATGACTTTTTAATTATCTAATGAGACAATTGAGTCTTTTTCCTGGCTATTTAGAACATTTTTAAGGATTATGGATAACAAACATATCATAACTATATTTACCGATCAGGACCAAGCAATGGGCAGGGCAATAGAGATTGCATTACCTAATACACGACATAGGTTGTGCCAATGACATATGTACAAGAAGGCTCCTTCCAAAGTTTGGTGCTTTAACAGTAACAACAAAGTGAAATACCTATTTTATTATTGTTTCAACAAGTGTGATTATGTGGAGGAGTTTGAGAGGAAGTGAAATGAAATGATCACAAAAGGGAACCTTCAGAGCCATCAATGGTTGAATGATTTGTACAAAATCAGGGAGAAGTGGTCAACAACATTCAACAAAAATTATTTTAACCTTGGCATTTTATCTACACAAGGTAGTGAGTTCGCCAATCATGTATGCCATGAATATTCTAAGCCAACAAGTATTGTCTTGAGTGTTTCCTGGATTTGTAAAAGGTGATGAAGACTTGGCGTAGGAATGAACAATATGAAGATTTTAAATGCAGTCAAACTGATATACAACCTTATATGAAAAGGAGCTCAATATTAAAGCAAGCTGTCTAATTTTATTCAAGAACGTTGTAGTCATTTTTTGAAGAGGAGTTCTTACATGGACTAGGTGGACTGTGCATTGAACATTCTTCGCCTGATTTATCTACGTTTTTCGTTAAGAATATAGACAATTAATTTGACTCACACAAATGGATTGTAACTTTTAATTCTCCAGAAGGCACCATACAATGCACTTGTGCAAAGTTCAAGATGATGGGTATATTATATTCTCATTGCATGCGAGTTATGAGGCAGTTTGATATTGTTAATATCCCTGTAAAATACTTACTCCCAAGATGGTCAGCAAGAGCTCGAAAAGATTTATACTCTGGAGGTAAAATCCCATGTATAGGCAACAATGTGTGTGAATCGATTGTGGGGTCCTGTAACATAATGTTCAGAAATTATATTTGCCGATTTGTATATCAAATTAGCACTGAAGCACAGGGTAATGAGGAGGCAGAAAAGTGCGTGATAGATGCGATGAGTATATTGGCTGGAACAGTGCATTTCATTAAGGAAGGCAAGAAAAATAAACCCATATCTGGGGCCGGCAATAAAACTATTAAAGATCCTACGAAGTGTCGGCCAAAGGGCATCTCTAATGCAAGATTGAAGGATCACTAGGAGAAAAGGAAGAGCAAAAAAGTAAAACACATAAAGAGGAATCCTCCTACAAGCATACAGTTTACACTTGGAGAATCAAGCAGTCAATCGTCTTTTATGTAATTGGGAAAGGTTAATGGAGATGATTTTTTACAAATTGTTAGAAAGTTCTAATTTATTTTGCTTCAAAGTTTTATTTGAATTTGGAATCCTGATGATGTAAGCATTTTGCACAATTTTGAGCTCGTTGTATTACTCGGTATAACGAGGATTTGCTGTTTTTTTGTCGGTACTAGTCATTTTTAATACTTGGTATAACTAGGTATTGTACTTTTTTGGCCGGTATTAGTCGTTTTTATTACTCGGTACTCGTCCATAGTTGTTACTACTTGGTGAATCTTTGGAGAATATCCTTGCATATCAAATAATTAAAAAACCAAATCTAAAGCTGATACTGAGTATTAAAGAATCTCGGTATCGAGTATTAAAAAAACATAATATGTTATATAACAACGAGAAAAATGATTTGGAGCATATATCTACACATACCTAGTAATAGTTCTGAATATCGAGTAATACCGAGCAAAATTAGAGAGCTTTAAATCCGATTCATATCCAAACTTTTCAAAAAAATTTACTCGGAACTAAATATAAAATATATTATATAACAATGAAATACATTAATTCTAAGATTTACCTAAGCGTATACCGAATAATAATTATGGATACCGAGCAGTACCGAGTAAATTTACAGATTTTTCTATTCGATTCATATCAAACCTTTTCAAAATAATTCACTCGGTATATAATTAATCATATATTATATAACCAATATAAACATTAATTGAAAGATTTATCTAAGCTAATACCAAGTAATAACTGTCAATACCAAGCATTACCGAGTAATATTAAATACCTATCTATCCGATTCATATCAAACCTTTTCAAAATAATTCACACGGTACAGAATATATAATATATTATCTAATCTTATACTAAGTATAAACTTTTAATACCGAGCAGTACCGAGTAATACCATTCATGTAAACCTAATAATAAATATTGTAGAAAAGATATTTCGAAATGTAAAAAAATATACATATATTTTTCCAACAATATTCACGATTTTAAAAATTGCTTCGTATTGGAACCTAGCAATACCAATCGATAACAAGAAATACCAATCTGTACCGAGTAGTACCGAGCTGTACTGACCACGATGTTCCGATTGATTACAGATGTTTTTTCACGAGAAATTGAAAGTTTTACAACACCCATTACACTTTCTACGTAAACCCTAGCCCTAAACATTTAACTTGCGAAAATTTATTTGCTTCAGAAAAAAACCAACTAACCAGAGGCATTGTTTCTCTGAAGTTAATCAAACACAAAGTAGATTCTTAATGCCACAGGAAAAAGCTTGTGACTGTGAAGAAAATGAATAATTGCCGGAAGAAAATCTTCGTCTATGAAAATGGTGAATTGAAGTGAAAGCCGCTGCTCTTTATTTAAAAAAAAATCATCATTTTCGGGTCCACTCGGTAAATTTTCGGGTCCGCTGGTCGGGTCGTCATCATTCAAATTTCGCACGTGCTATAACCCAACATTTGACCGGCTGGGTCGGCGGAAATTTGCCAAGCTACGTGACGCCACATAATAGGTGTCTGGATGTAGAGCTACATCAGGATACCTGACCAAATAAAAATTCTCCATACGAAGCCTTTGTCAAGGTTGTGATCAGTAGAGAAATTCTTAAACAATCTAATGTGTTTGGTACATGTTAATTCATCAATTCTCTTGTCTCTTTTAAAAAATCAATATGAATGTGAGAATTATTTGCCTTCTAACGCAGCCAAGGTGATTTTGAACTTGACATATCTTTTATTCTTCTCTTGATTTGATATATGGTAAACACTTTACCTATTTAAAATCTATAAATTAACTTCTGTTTTTGAAAATCTTGCTTGAGCTTTTTATATTCTAAGGATATGGAGAAAATTAGTAGGTAAACTAGCATAATTGTTTTTATTAGATGTACTCAAAATTTTATTAGAATATACTGGCCAACTAATTGTTAAAATGTTTTCTTTATGTTGATAGCAACCTCATTGAATGATCATCATATGAGCAGCCTCATATAGTTTTTTTTTATTGAGAATGTTCATTTAAAATAAAAAATTGTCAATATAAATTTTGACATTAGAATAATTCATATTTAACAAAAAAATAGGCAAATCTATAGTATATTGGGACTAAATTTAAGCATGAATTTGTTAGGGTCAATGGAATTGGGTTGGATGTTCAATAGGTGATGATATGAACACTCCACATGCATAAATTAGTGATATTATGGATGTACAAGCTACTAGTGATTGTAATTCAATTGATGCTTCCGAGTATAAGACAATGGACATGTCAATCTAAGTTTGTGATCGAACTAAAACAAACAAATGACTATGGTCATTTGATTCTTCATGTATTATGGGGCTAAAAGCAACATATAAATATATGGAGAATACATGCATAACTCCTAACCTGCAAGAGTTAATGATTGAAGGAATCTTAAATTTAATGACTGCTGCTTTATTAGCACTATGCTTAAATTTTATAACTAGTAAATTATGTGTTGCCCAACTATTTAAAAGAAAAGAAGGGTTTAAAACACATTTTACATGTCTATGCCATAAAAAAAAACTTTTAATTGAAGGTGAAAAAATTTAGTGATGTACACCTGTTGCTTTTCAAATATACACTCGTGGAGCTTGCATGCAAAATAAAATAACATATTCAAGTATGTTGGAGATAATGAGGTTAACATTGGAAACACACTTGCATTCGTGGCTCATGAAGCAAAATACAATTATAACATACATTAGAAGAGACTAAAATATTGAATTGTCCTACAATAAGACTTTTGGGTGTCGCAAGCAAGCTATCACCCATATTAGAGATTCCTCTAAAGCATCCTTTTAAAGACTAACATCATATATGGTTGTGCTACGAAGAAAAAAAAAATCTAATGATAAATGTTGATCTCTAATAAGACAACATTAATTGTTTCAAATATGTAAATTTCTCTTTGAGTACTTATATTCAAGGATTTAAAATCACATGTTACTTTGTTTTAAGAGTGGATAGAATATTTTTGAATATAAATTGTCAATAAATTTTACTTATGGTAGTGGATATTAACACTCAAATTTACCATGTGAAATTTATAATTGATGACTACAAAAATAATGAATAATGTATATATTTTATGATTAGGTTGGGGGAGTTAATATACATTGAAGAAAATTTGGTATTGGTTATTGATCGATACAACCATATTGTTAATGCTTTGTTAGACATTTTTATGAAAGCACAACATGGAGGTTGCACTCACACTGTGACAATAAATATCTAAATTTTATGATTAGGTTGAGGGAGCCAGTAGACATGGAAGAAAACTTGCTATTTGTTATTGATAGACATGACCACATTGTTAATGCTTTGTTAGTCATTTTTATTGAAGCATACCACTGAGGTTGCACTCACAGTGTGACAATGAATATCACAGTAATGTTCAAATTTGATTGTTGTCAAAATGAATATCACTTGGCTTCTGATGCTTACAGAAGAGTTGAGTTCCTTAACTTCTTTGATAAAATACGTATTAAGAACCCAACTATAACATCTTATCTTGAGAATGAGTGGCTTGGAATGAAAGACTCGCTCTTTCTTCACTAAAAATCGATAAAACTTAATGATAATAGACATTTTTTAGGGCTTCAACAATATCACTAAGAGTACGCGCACCTATTTGGAAATTATATTGCTAGTCTATTTAAGGCTCACATTACTAAATGATTTTTTTACGAATCTAATATGATAACTATTGCAAAAACTATTTTAGCGAAGAAAATTGAATAAGAATTAGGAAAACTTTTGAATAAGGCTCAAAGTACAAGTATCTACCATGTTAGTTAATTTAAATTGTCAATCCTTAATACTGATATAAATTTAAAGGATACGATTTGTATATGTTCATAAAGTTTGATGTTGTTGCTCTTTTGTGTACATACGCATTAGCATAAGATTGAGATATGAGTGTTAGTTTTTATTCATTATGTTCAAATTTCTATACATAAAAAGTATGATCATCTGTATACATTGAGAATTTATATATAGCTTAAAAAAAGACATTTGAGATATTCTATATGAAGTATATTAGTTATTACATTAACCTTTTGTTGAAGCTGAAGAATATCTATGTAAAGAAAAATAACGGCCTTTTAAGAGGGAGAATAGTTGTAGCCAATGTGGATAAATTGACATTTTTGTGTTGTTGTTATTCAATGGTTGTACAATGATGTATTGTTTGTTATTTTTATGTATTATACATACTAGATGAGCATAATGCTGTTAAATTTGTTGTATTATGTATGCTATGATCGCACTCTTTTATTCAAATCTTATTTGCATCTTATTCGATCATTATTTACCCCATGTTACGATTGAATTTGACATGTGTTTACAGTAACCACTCTTTCAATTTGCTATGTTATATCAAATATTGAACGAATTTTTCTCAAACTTGTAATAACTATTTCATAAAGTACCAAATAATATCTTATTCAAATCATATTTGAAATTTGATTTACAAATTTCCAAATAATAATAATTAAAGTTTGAAGAATGTTCAGTATAGATCAAATTTTTAATGCATATATTCTAAATCTTGATCAAATATTGTTTGAATGTTATTCAAATTAAACCATAATCTATAGTCGAACGTGGGGGCATTTTATGTATGAATGAAACATCAACTATATTTTTTCTATAAAACAAATAATCCAATATATTTATCTAATTTTGGACATTATAAGTCATATAAATTTAATTTTTCTTTTTAGTTTATGTTTATTTTTTCTTTATTTGAGATTTAAAAGTTTAGAAGGAAAGTAAAATAATCTCATTCAATATTTAAAATTTTTATATTAGATAATTTATATTATTTTTATTTTCCAAAGCTCATTAAAATGACAAAAATAAAAATAAATATGTGAAATAAAATTCTGAAATTACTTTAAATTGAGGACCAAATATTGTTTTTAGAATATAACACACTGTAATTCACCATGGAGAGACTCACGTCGGATGTCACCATTTCTCTACTAGAAACTCTCAAGTCTTAACTGCTGTTTGCGCCCACTTCCTTCCTCCGCAAGCTTCTTCCCCTCAAAACCCCGCCAAAAAAAAAATACGCCTTCTCTCCTCCTCGAGTGAGTCGATCAATGGTAAAACCCGGGGTCGCTAGGGTTTCCTCTGACCCTTGAAATTGCAGCTTGGAAGGCACTTGTCCGGTTGCCCCACTCCATGGGGAAAAGGAAGCCGGTGGTCGTCCTTTCTTCGTCGGATGACGAAGTGGCCCGAACCCGCTCCACAGGCCGGGCACGAGGTCTTAGCGAGTCCAGTTTGAAATCTTTGTCTGCTGCGCGGAAGAAGACTCGTTCTGGAAAATCAAACGGTGGCTCTGATGTCAGGCATTCGCGCGAAGCCGAAGCGGTATGTTTGGGTGTCGATCATTTATGAAGGTTTATCGTGTTGCTGATTTTTATGCAGCATGTTTTAGATTTTGTTCTTCCTTTGAGATTGTATGGCCTAAGGCCATTTTTTTCTGGTTGAAGGCCAAGTTTGCGGCACTTTCGGAGGATTTTTGCGGCTGTCTCCAGAATTTTCACTTAACGAGAGGTTAGATTTTTGATATTCAGGCTTGTATGTATATCTGGGCTTCTAAAAACTGTCATCTAACTTTTTTGTTTCTTTTTCATTAGTTACAGTAGTTTGACGAACGCTTTTCTCAGCTGCGGATCTTTGGGGGGTTCCGTAAATTTGAAGTTTTATAGGGATTAAGCTTGTTTAGTTAAATGGATTTTGCATATAAACATAATGCATGCATTGATATGATATACAAGTCATTAGTGCTATATCAAACATTAAATAACCAAAGCTTAGGGAGACGACATTGATCATCGCCTCAACGCCTCATTGGCGGTCTCCCTATCAAGCTGCTCTGGCACAAGCCGGCACCCCCCTAAATGCTTGAAACGCTACCCCGGGCACTCACCTGTGCTAGTAAGTTCGTCTCGCCTATATCGATCTCTTTTCATGCTGCTCTATTTCTTCTCACCTGCTATGTTCTATTCGCTGCCCTAATAGTTGCGATTCGAAGGAATAAGCGAGCCAGTAAGGGAAAAAAAAAAATCGAGGCAGTAAGGAGGAAACCAGGTTATGCTAGTTTGGTTTAGGAAATGTTTTTTTTTTGGTCTGATATTTATTGGGCTTATTACATATATCCTCTTCTACCACTATCTCACCTGTGCATCTCCTCAATTCGATGTTTTCTAACAGCAGAATCCTCTCGCTTTCGTGAGCTTGTAGCGAAGAGCATACCTCACCTTCTGGGCATGTTTGAATGCACATTTTTCTTATTATAATATTTCTATTGTTATAAAAATCAGTGAAGTTATGGATAGTAGTAACTCTTTTCCAATTCTAGAACTTATTTTATATTTAGGCATTTTGGCTTTACAAGTAAACAAGTAAAAATAGTTTCTTTGTTAAGAATGACATCCAAATCACCATCTTGCATATAAAAAAGAACTTTTCAATTGCCTTTTAAAACAACAGCTGTATAACCAAACTAAACCTAAGAATCTGGTCTATTTAGGAAGAAACACATGGAATTTCAACAGCATTAAAGATCAAGTATCATATATCTCATAAAAACATCACTTGATGATGTCAAAAACTTCATTGCATAAGAGTTCAACAACCTGTTTAATTAAGGAGGGATGAGAGAACGATTCAAACTTAGTTTGTTAATTTTGTAATAATGAGGTGTTAGAGAGTCGGCATTATTTTAGGCTACTTTGATGGCCTATAGGCGTTGTAAGTTATATTGCAGGTGAAAAAGGGTGCAGCCATATTTTCTCTTCAAAAATTTTCTAGTGCATCTCTCTTCCTTTATACCAGAAGTCCTCTTCTTTTGCACCCTCATATCTGATCAATTACAAAAAAATCTCATTTGGCTCCTACATAACTTTAGCTTCATAGATGATTTATAATTTACAAAGGGTAACCTACAAAGGGATCAAGTTTGGAAAATTTTGTTCATGAGCATCTTGGATTTCAGTTATTCGTTGTGTTGTTTTTTTCTTGCATACAAAAAATGTATATATTTTTTGACAATCTCATTTTTCCTGAAATTATGCATCTATGTACCTAAGCCGACTATTAGACATCTTGATATCATTATGTTGTAGATCTGGAAAAAAGATAAAAGAAATTAATATTATGTTCACATCAGTGCCCCTTTGAATGAAACTGAAGCATTGCAGTTGAATTTTGCACCATGGAACTTTTAATTGATCTTACATATGCCAACCCTCCTTATTTAGTGACAAATGTCTGGTTTCCTTGCAAATGAAAATGCTTTGGTCATAATTTGCTTTATAATTTACCTAGAATGTTTTGTAATTTGATTCTTTGAATTTTTTCCCATTATTGATACGAGAGAAGACCTATGATACTTGGAAAGCTAGTTTAGGGAATTAAAAATATTGGCATGGCGAGAATTCTTATTATTTAAGCTACAGACATGTTTCCATCTTTATTACAAATTTCACTAATCTTTTTTGTTTGGTCTCTTCTTTGTTCTTTATTTTTACTATATTTGAAATTTAATGATTAATTTTTAAAAATTGGAATTAGAAAGCTAACTATTCTAATGAGAGTTTATGGGCACTGAGAAGGCTTAATCATTTTTGGAAAGAGGTTCTTTATCTAGAATAATTTTTCATGAGGTAGATATAATAGAAGATAATATACTATTGTCTATCAAGAGATTTTTCCCTCATATGTGATATTTATATTCCCAATTTAGGGCTTCTTAGAGTGGGGAATTCCCATAATTAATTATTTGTCTTGTTCATTTGAGAGAATTTTTCATTAAGCCTAATTTTCAAGCTTCATGATAGTTTAATGGATGGTTTCTTGCATGGTGTTACCTACTGTGATAGTTTTGGGAGAGAGCATGCCACAATTTGGCTCATAAGATATGGTGGTGTATTGATAACAATCCCTATTAAAGTCCAGTATTTTTATATCTCTGATATGTTTAGTCAGATGAGGTAATAACCCAACTTGATTGGAGGAATATTTTTAGTAGCTCTGAGTTGGTTTCTTTTAAGGCTTGCCATAAATTCGAGGATAACCTTATCAAAAGGTGCTAATTTCATGGCTAATCTAACTTATAGAAGGCTTCATGTGTTAGTGAGTGCAATAAATGGTCATAACTCATAAAATTAAACTACTAGTATAATGTTTGGTCAGGGTATTTCCACTGTAATATAGTGCTTGCTATTACAATCAGGCTGATCATCTAGCTAGGAGATACACACTTTAATCATAATATACTGATGTTGATATCCAATCTAAATGTTGTGGAGTTGGTCAATCCTTTGATTGGGATCGTGTCCATTAATCACGCCTTTCATTCGAGGTGAACCCTTAAGTATATAGTGACTTGAAAAAGTGGTTTTTTCTCTCTTGGACCCCTCTGGTTATGATCTCTTGATGCTTGTGCCATTTAGAGGAGCATCTCTGTATGTTGATATTAGATCCTGGTGGGATTAGTAGGATTTGTGCTTGAACAATTAGTGGTCTTAGTTCAACAAGTTTGTTCTATTGTCTTGGATTATAGTGTGGAAGCATGACGCTTGAAATTTCTTCATATCTTATTTTTGGGATTACCGGGGTACTGGCACATAAATTAAGGTGACAAGAATCTCTGTTAGTTCATTTAGGATCATCATATCATAACTTTCATTTTTTATTGCAAAAGTTCATGTTTGTCGACCTCTGTCTTAGCTGAAGATGAACTAAGAGTCTAGCGTGGATCATCTTATTAAGTTTGATCGATTTAAGTGTTCCAAGTACTTGGTAAAAATATTATTTTGATTGGATGTGACTAGTATGCTTGACTTGCATCTTTTGATCAAACATGTTTGGTAAAAATGATTTTGGTCCTTGGTAGAATAATCAATTCGAAAAGGTATAAATGAGGTAATATTCTAATGATCTTGTATGGCAGCTGGGCCGCGAGTTGTCTTGACCATTATTTATATGGCAATGATTGAATTTGGTGGGATCTCATGTTTTCCCTATTCTTGATACTAATTATTTGTATTTAATGAATTTGTTGAGTATTCTCCTGATTTCTCCTTGGAAGAAAATAGGGACTGTGTGCTGTGAAATAGCCTTGGGAAGGTTTAAGCACTAATACTTAGATTGTTTTGGGATTTTTTTAAGTTTTTGAAAATAGGGACTGTGTACGAGTGTATTTTTTGGTTGAGCAGGAGGGGACACAATCTTGCAACAACATGTTAGCGGAATGTAATTCTACTAATAGATGAAACTATATGACTTTTGAAGTGAAGTAACATAGGTCAAACCACTTTAAATTGGCCATAATGCTATTTACCTTATAATGAGGTCAAATCATACAAATAATGTGTGTAATACACTCGTACCAACACTTGAGCACATGATGCTTATACTAGGTTGTTAATCATTAATGGATAGAGCCACAAATTATGATGTTGGAGTATGTGTGATGTGACTTTTGTCTCTGAACAAGAGAGACCCCCTATGCTATATATGGCATTAAGATTCCATTTGCATCATTTTAAATGCATGGAGTATGAAGCTTAGTTCATTTTGTACATGGGGATAGATGTAGGGAATCTTGTTGGACCTTGTGTGCAACTTGCCTCGGTTCAAGCTTATGTCCTCCTCTCTTTGTACATCAGCTAGCATAAGTTTGTGTAAATTGGCTTCATTTAGTGTTATTATATTCCACTTCAATTTCTCAACATGTATTAGGTGCATTTAAATTTGTTTCGTTTGTCAATATATATTTTTTATATTTATGTTCACGCGTCTGGTGATTGTCTCAACAACAGTTTGCGTAATGCAATGTGGTGTGGAGTGGAAATTTGTTTAGTATTTCATAGAAAATTTTCAACAGAGTTTCTAAGCCACCCTCCCAAGGGGGATAGTGACAACTGACAAGATTATAAAGCATAGCCTACCCATGCATAAAAAGGCGAACATTGGTAGTGCCTATCCTACCCATGCCATGAAATCTAACATATGTGATGCATAAAATCATGATATATTCTATCTTACCACGTTAACAAAGACGAACATAACATTTTATAATTTTTATGCAGGAGTTAAAAATAACAGAACAAAAGTATATTAAAGATGAGGAGAATTTCCCCATGATGCTAAGAAAGATGCATCGGCCTTGGTAAATTATGTACATGACCTAATTTCTTAAATGGAAATCCTACAGGAGACATACACCTTAAAAATTATGTAGTGATTCTAATGTAGAACGAGAAGGGAAAAAAGGGGACATTTGAGATTTGCATTTCTTGCTTTAATTGAGATCAAAATATTAGGAATAATTAAATCAAATCAAGTCAAATTAGAAACCTAATTAGATTTAATTTAAGCAACTTTCCTAAAATAGACTATCTTAAATTAGGAAAGTATTTCAAATTCAAAATTACTTAGAATTTGAAACCAAATATTTTCCTAACTTAAATCGTTTGATAAAGGAAAGTAGTCAAAGAGGAATTCAAGTTTTGGAGGTAAAGAGGAAGAAGGGGGAAGGGGCCGGCGGCATTAAAAGGGGGAGGAGAGTTTATGGAAAGAGAATTAAAAAGGACTTTGATTGGAACCTTAAATTAGGGAGTAATATTTAAATCACATACAATTAAATAATTAACTGGACCTAATTCAAATACTTTCCTAAAATAAGAATCCTAATTTTAGAAACAAAATTCAAATTCAAATTAATTTGAATTTCAAATTTTTATTTGTTACTAAGTTAGAATGGCTATAATAGGAAAAGGGCTTTGAATGTGAAGGGAGATTTGTGGAGCCAAGGGGAAAGAAGGTGGCAGATAGTTTGGTGAGACCGGCGGCTAGGGAGGGTGTTGGGGGGGGGGGGTGTTGGAGGTGGAGCTAAGGCCGTAGGGAGGGAGAATGAGAGGTCGGTTTTGTGGAAGTGGAAGGGTTTATGGGAGAATCGACTGGTGGAAAGTGGGGGATTTTGGCCGGCGGTCAAGGGAGGAGGAGAAACAGATTTAGGGAAAGAAACATACAACCGCGAGCACGGACACATCCTGCAACTGATGGGTACTACACTGCCCTTCACCAAGGGACTTTAGGCCACGAGCCCGGACACATCCTGCGGCTGATGGAAGCTATGAATTCCTCCCATAGGAATCTCACCCAAGGTTCCTCCTAAAGAACACAACTACAAACATAAAATTTTATTCATCATCCAAAATTGCATTACACAAGCAAGAGCCTCTATATATAGGCCTAAAAAACTAAAAAAAGACACATGCTCCTAGGGCTTACATAGGACGGCAATCTTAAGTAAGGGTAAAAATGAAAAATTCATAATAAAAAATAAAAAATTGCAAATAACAAATTAAGATAAGGTGGAATGATCTGGGCCGTCGATCATCGTCTCCTCCTTTGATAATCTTCATGATCGGATGTCCGTATCAGATTCACCCTCTTTATTTGATTTCTATTATTTGTAAATTTGTGTTAGTTTTCATATACCCCTCTTTATTAACAATTAAAAAGGGAGATTACAGCTTAGTTGGCAATGCGTGATAGGAAACATCATTGGAATATGACTAGCGATGTCTCTAATGACGACCATGTCATGGAATTCTAATATTTTAGAATTTCTATCCTTGCATCGCAACTTGTGGGGTTGCACATCACAATTAGACTTGCCAATGCATGAGACCCAGGTAATGGTTTGAAACTCTCTCCTGGGAGTTGCTTCATATTTTCTTGATGATAAGGAAAGGCTTTTGGTATGCCAATGGTTGGTTGGCCACAACTGATCCTAGGGGCATCTTTGTGGTCCCTCTTTTGGGACAAGAGGATTGGATCAACCAGCTTGAGCCTAAGTACATTTCCATGTCAAATATTGGAATTGGAATTTATGTCAATTGAGTTTTATTTCTATGATCGTCTCCGACAAGGTCACTAGCTATCTTTCTAGATTCACTTCTAATTGTGATAGAAATATGACTTTTTAACTGTCTGATTATTTTGAATGATTGAATGGATTCCCATGCATAATGTAACCATGTTTTGGAGGCACTTGCTGCGTTGAGTCAAGGGATGAAACTAATTTTTCTTTTGAGGATGAAGAAACTTGTTATATAAATAAATTAATACTAAAAGAACAAAATGGATACTAGATAATTTAAAGCAATGTCTTCTATTTCACATATTACATTATGATTGACGAATAATGATTTAAATTTTTAACATATTTTATCTTTTTTTAATAATATTGAATAACAATTTTATTGAGCATCAAGTTAAAACTTTTTTTTTCTCAGTGTAAGTTACTAGGTACTGGTTGAGTCACTCAACTCCCATTTTATTGTGCAATTGGTGCTCGACATTTCTCATTGTAGAAAATGTTGTTTTTATTGTATGAGCAGCAACTAATAAAATTAATGCCAATGCATTAAGCTTATAAATTAGGCGATAAACACCATATTTTTAATTTTAACCGTTTCTTTTGCAGGGTCGAGAATTTTGCTTAAAGATAGAACTCATCACTAGTGTGCATATTAATAATGTAAGTGAAAAGTTGATAGTCAAGTGCCAAAATATCAACTGCAGAAAAGTCACTTAGATATAACTTCGCCAGGCAAATTAGTTTGGCCTTATCGAAAACAGAGTGAATCACTTGGATTTAAGCGTCTCATAGAAAAAAAGCAACCTAGTATTTGCCTAAGAGAGTTTATTATTTAGTTTTTGAAGCCTTTGAACATTTTCGCTTAATAAACTGGGACTAGCCAATGCTATGCTAAATCTTTCTTGTTAATTATATATAATGCATATTTTTAATTTACTGGCTACAAAATTTTCATTGATCAAATTTGTGCATTACGGCTGTTTTTTGCTTCTCATAAACGAGATTTCAGGGATAAATCAGATTTTTTCTTTTATTAAAAACATAATTTTGAAGTTAGAATCTGTTCCTGAGAAGTTTGAAACAGGGAATCAGTGTACAAAATGTAAAGAGCTTTGGATTGATAAGTACGAACCCAGTTCTATTGCCCAGCTTGCAGTTCATAAGAAGAAGGTTTTCTCTATCCATTCATGCTCAGTGTAAACTATAAAGTTTCTCTAATGTTTATAAACAATTTTATCTTAAGTAACCTTTTTGATTACATGTCTTCCATTTTTAAAAGCATTTACTGCTTGAAACCTCAAGACTGATCTGTATTTTCTGTTTTGCACTTTATTTCTTGTTTCTGATAAATATTTCTTCATTTTGGTTCATTTCTTACATTCCACATGTATCTGTCTTGACCATGGTATTAGAATTATTTTTAGGTAGGGTTGAACTTTGCTGCCCAAATCAGAGTCCAAAATAAGTCTAAGATAGATGAATGACACATTGCAAGTGTATGTCATGTCAGTCATTCTATGATTGTAGACTTTGTGTTTTTAAAGCTGGGCACGATAGCAATATTCTTGTCATGAATTTGACCGTTTTGATCGTTTTTTTTTCTTTTTATTCCCTAATCCTAGGAATCATTTTCATGCATTCTTCGTGTTATACCAATTTAGATGGATCATCATGTTTGCTAAGATTTTGGAGTTTTTCAATGAAAGAAATCACGAATGCTAAAACTCCGCCTCTTGTACTGCCTTTTTGTGCTTCATGTAGTTCCAATAAGTCGAGTCCTTCTAATTAAGCATCTTCTCCTGATATTCTGTTTCAGATTGAAGAAGTAAAGTGTTGGTTGGAGGACAGGCTGGTCACCTCTAAGGTGTGTTTGGTTAAAAATGGAGTTTGGCATCAAAGCTTACATTTTAAAATCATCTTTTGTCAAAAAATATTTTTAAAATTTTGATTGTTGTCTAGTTGCTTTTTCATGTTCTCACCCTGTAAAATTGCAACCGTGCAGAGATTCTAGTTACAATTGCCATCTCCAGCAATAGATTTTGTTGTAAAATGTAACGTAACAGAAATTGTTTATTGACTTGTTATAATATTGTTGACCTGTATACATGAGCCAAAAAAAAAAAAATAATAAAAATTTCTCGTACCTGTTCGGCGCCGAACTCCGCACGTCGTCGCTGTTCAAATCCCGTAAATCTAGCGACGCGTCATTTCTCCCACGACGCATTCACGTCGTTAAAGAGTTAAAGAAAACGAGGCCGAAGGCCTCGTTCGACTGACTCTCGCTCTCGCTCATTTTCACTCTCCCGTCCTCTGCTCTCTCTAGCTCTCGATCTCTCTCATGAACGTGTCTTCCAGCCGGATCGGAAGTTACGACAGTTTGATCGGAAGCAAGCACCGGAGCTCACTAGCAGTGAAGGTCACTTTCTCTCTTCCGTCGCATCCCCGACACCTCCGTGGCTGTCCGACCGCTCCTTCGACGACATCCCCTACGAGTTGGATCGGAAGTTACGACATTGAGATCGGAAGCAGGAACCGGAGCCGCTCGCAGTGAAGATAGCTTTCTCCCTTTCGATCGGTTCTTCGGCTACACTGTGCCTGGACGACTTCGCTGCTCCGACGACTTGCTCCACCTGCTGGATCGGAAGTTACATTTTGATCGGAAGCACAAACGGGAGTTCGCTTGCGGTGAAGGTAACTTTCTCCCTTTGCGTTCTTCTTCGGCCAAATCCCAAAGTCCACCGAACTAAGGGATTTAGTAAATACGAGATCTAAGCCGTAAATCCTTAATCTGAGATTTAACCATCGCCGGGATTTAACGCACGCACCGAAACCATTGGCTAGATTTAGCCTGAATCCGGCCAAATCCCGTAACTTCGCCGAACAGAGAGTTAGAGGGAGAAGAGTTATTTAGTTTTTAATTAAAATTAATTTTAATTATGATTATTTTAATATATATATATATATATATATATATAAGTTATATAAGTTATATGAAGATATTTCAATCAAATTCGTTGAATTCTTGATGTATCATTATCATTTGATTTTTACTAATTATTGTGGTTGGGTAGGATTGTATTTGAGAGTTAAAAGTCTGTATGCAAATAGAGGTAAAGAGGGTGTAAGATGAGATGCGATGTTGATGCCTGTCAGTATGGAAAGCAACATGAGAAATAAGGACATGTAAAATGGGCTCTTATAGGAAAGGCCGTAAGAATGCAGGTAAATTAATTTTGTTAAGGCATTTTAAAGACATTTAGATTTGCGAGGAGCTTAATGATGGTCTTATTTTTTATTTATATGAAATGAACTTTTTAATGTAGTATAAATTAGTTTTACTAAAAAAAGATCATATTTTTGTAGATCAATCAAAGGAATCAAACCAGGTTAAAAAGCATTGAATCAGATCATTCTTCAACTTTTTGGTATATATAATCATTTATTTAGGGATACGAAAAGTAAGGCATAATATTTTGTAAGTCTTTTTGAAATCATCATAAAAATTTTTGGTCCATATGTGCAAACGCATTAAGAGACTACCAATATATTTTCCTTGTCAAAATTTTGCTTTCACATCTAACCTGCATGATTAATGTATGGTGTACTTATCCTCTATCATAGTTCAAAGCCTTCTGTTGCTCAGTGCAGTTATGTTATTGTGACTCCTTTGTGTTTTAATCTGGTTTTCTTCTCCCAAATTACAGGGAAGCCTTGGAAATGTACTTCTTCTTACAGGAAAAACTGGTGTTGGTAAATCTGTATGTATATTTCTACAAATTGTTACTTTGCATAGTATTTCAAGTCTTTAAGGCTTGTTATTATCGACATTGGTTGCTGATTGAAGTTAAAAAGTATGGTTCAAATTTGCAGCTTTCTAATAAAGCCAGTGTTTCTTTTGTTGCGTGACTTCTATAATTATTTTATGGCGACACTTTGTTTGCTAGATACTTGTTTCGGGAATAAATGTCGTTTGTCACACTATTATCTTTTAATGTCTTAATTTGAAAAATAATAATTTGCTGTGACAATGTTTGGTTGATTGTTTTTTATTTCCTTGTTTCACCTAACATTTTTTTGTTTTTGTTTCACCTAACATTTAAGAGTAAATAAGTGTTTTTTCCATTGTTAGCATGGGATAAATATCAAATGAGATAAATGCTTTATATTTAGTCAGTGGTATAGCATGTTTGGTTTTACTTTAGAACATTATATTCATTCTTACATTGTGAAAAGAGGGGTTCTGTAGTGAATAAGATACAAGTAATAGCTTTCTTTTCTAACTTTGTATTAGTCTATTAGAGAAGGGCTTGTGTAATCTTAGCCTCCCCTCCTTCGATCTGCCCCATCTCTTCACTTCGTTTCACAATCAGCCATAGCTTCACTCCCCTTGCCTCGCCTTGCTGGCGTGCTAGTCTCTTCCACACATCTATGCCACATCGAACCCTCACATGCATGACATGTCTCTTTCACCCTCACCCCACCCCACCCCACCCCACTCTCCCATCCAAACTTCACTGACATTTCCATTGTTGAACCACTCCCTGCATCAATCATCCCACATCCTTTATGACTTGAGTTAAATCTTAGACTCTTTGACATGCTCTCATAGTGTCGCGGCCTCTCAACCTCCCCTCAGTGCCTCGAAACCATCCTCAGCCATTTGTATCACAATAAAATTCAATGATGCAAATGATCCCTCATGTTCGATGAACTTTCACCTCTTTATCTATTCTTATGACAACTTCGTGTTGATATTTTTTCCCTTAACATGATACCATCAAGTTTGTAAAGTGGCAAGTGTTCAACTATATTGTTCTTACCTGATTGCTCAACATACTAGAAATTATCATTGCCTCAATTGTCATGTTTCAAGACTCTAGCAAGGGGCATAGGATTTTTTTTTTGTTTCACTTACTTTCAGGAAAGTAACATTTCTCGTTTCTACACTCTCCTATGCAGATATATTTTTCTTCAACAATATGATATGCAAAACCAAGAGTACTATAACACGTTAAAGGAAAAAAGGATGAGTTATTTTAGTACTTCCCCTTTCCCTATTGGTCCTATTGTTTGACAGAAATATAAGAATTTCTTGCCACTAAATATATCTCCATCTTGCATCCTTTTGTGCAGAGTTTGCAATCTCCATTAATGGCAACATGAACCATTTTCAGTATTATGGCCACTCTTTCTCAAGTTCTTTCTTTGTGTTACTTAGCTCTCAATTACTTAACCTTTGAAGGCTCAACAACCAGCCTTGATTGCTGGCATTATTGGTGGTTACTGGGATGGTGGACATCTCTACCTTCATTGTAGTCAAACATAACATCCTCTTTAACATTGCTGAGAGAATTTGGGTTCTTCCTCCACCAACTAACTTGCTTCCACAATTTGTCCAACCCTGCAAACTCTTTCTAGTGCTTTCTAAGATTTCTTACTTCCTTTTAGGAAAATTATGAGTGATTTCTTTAATAATCTCATTCATGCCCCCCTGCTTCTCATGCTATCTCTTTCTTTAGATTTGATGTAACAATCACTTTTGATCGTTCTTTGTTTTAGATTCATGTACTTTTCCTCATATGACAGGTAATCATTAGCTACTTATCTCTCTCTGCATATCTTCTTTATTTCTTATCATTGAGGTTGATGTTTCTAAAAAGATATCTAATCAAAACCACATATTTTTTATTTCTTATCATTAGATAAGAGTCTATCAAAACCACATCTCCATTAAATAGCCTACTATCTAATCTGTTGCATGCCCTTTAATTTCCTCAATAGTTTTTCACCCAACTTTACCGTTTTTTCCCAGCCGTATTACATTCCCTTTTGCACCTAGGGTGTTTGATTGTGTTTGTTTTGTTCCTACTTTTCACTTGTACGTCAAGCTTTCTCCTCGTGGTATTAGGTGGATATTTCTTGATTATTTTCACACCTGTAAAGCTATATATGTTATGATCCCCTTACCTGCACATATACACTTAGATTGGTGTTACTTTACAGAAAACTATTCCTTTTTTTACCTCTCTCCTCTTCCATACATTTACCACATGTTCATCTTTTTACAAAATGTTCTATACTTACCTTTACACCTCTAATGGTTTCGTCAAGTTGAACTTGACTACCTTATACAAGAATACTTCCATCTATATTGTTGGTATTGATTGAGCATCATCTTGTGATTGAGCTGTCTGATCTATATTTTTCAATTGCTCTATGTAAAAGTAAAAGAGAACATATCGCCCATCTCATTTATGCTGATATGTTGTTTTATTATTTCTCTCTTTCCTCCTCACATTTTCCTTGACCTTGGCATTTGTATTTATTCCTAGGATGTAATAAAAAGCATTGCAAAACCCTTTATGGAAACATATTGTGGTTGTTAAGATGAGTGCTTTGCTCACCTTACATCCATGAGATTTGGTTGTTAATCCTTCTAGGGTTAAATCAATATCTTACTTGTTTGTATTCAAAATCAAATTTAATCCTTATGCCTTGATCGATCAGTACAAACTTAGTTGGCTGTCATAGGGTATATAGTTCTACAAGATTGCTTACTATTGGCCATGCTTAATCCTTTTGGATTCTTCTATTTGTGGCCATTAATCAAAGATTATTTATGCTACAAATAGATGTGAGTAATGGATGTTTATGATGATCTCATTGAGGCATTTTGTTTGGAGAAACTACTCGAGCATGTATGAAGCGCATTTATGGGCTTAAATAAAATTCTTGAGCTTGGTTTGAAAAATTCTACGAAGTTCTTGTTGAGATTGGCCTTCATAGTAGAGCCACAGATCATTCTATATTTGTTAAGCATACAACATATAGCTTTTTGTTGTGGTGGTGAATGTTGATGAACTTTGGATTTTATTTTTGTTAGAGGTAACCGGGTCATCTAAAAAAGTGAGAAACAGACTATAATGGCCAATTCCAATGTTATGTATAAACACAGCCAGAAATTATGTGGGCAAAAACTCTTGGGGGAGTTTGTCTTTCTAGTTATTTATCCTATAGTCTTATGTTGTGACAATTGTGCTACTATCTACTATGCCAGCAATGATATTCTATGAAATAACCAAACATATTTAGGTTGATTGTCATTTCATTTGTGATGCTCTTTCTCAAAAGATTTTCACCCCTCATATCTCCAATTCAAAACAAACTATTCCTCTTTTTACCAATGTTCTAGGTCTTCTACCTTTTTCTCAATTATGTATTAGGTTGAGGGCCTTGAGGCTAGTTGATATATATGCTTCAGATTGAGGGTGAGTGTTAGAATAGGAAAATATCAAATAAGAAAATTGCTCAATAGGTGATGAGTGATGGATGTTATTTGGTCATACCTATATATATACATACATATATATATATACATATATATACATACATATATATATATATATATATACATACATACATATATATACATATGTATACACACACACACAATAACAACATCAAGTCTTTATCCCATTATGTGGGGTTGGCTTCATTAATTCTTTTTCTCCGTTGTGTCATGTTAAGAGTCAAATTCTTATTTAAATCTAATAAAAAAGTCATTTCTAATATTTTCTAACGAAGTCTTTTTAAGTCTATCTCTACCTCTTTTAACATAGGCCAAATTTAATGCATCTACTCTCCTAATCGGGTCATTAGAAGGCCGATATTTATGTGACTAAACCATCTAAGGAGACTCTCTCTAATCTTATCTACCACTGAAGCTACTCCAACCTTTTCACCTATATGCTCATTTTGCATTCTATCTCTAAGAGTAAAGCCACTCTCATCCACTTGAGCATCCTTATCTATCAACACTTAACTTAATTGTATGCTTCTACTTAAATGGCCGACATTCTGCGTCATAAGGCATTGTAAGTCTCACCATTGTCTTATAGAATTTTCCCTTAAGTTTGAGGGGACTTTTCTATCACACAACAGACCTGATGCATCCCTCCGTTCCAACCATCCAACTTGAATTCTACTTATAAAAGTGACAATTTATCACACTGTGGAGTTGATATTAGAAATACCACTCATGATAAACTTTATTGCAATCATTATCTTTGCTAGACTTCCAAGTTATATATTTGCTTTTTTAATCTTAGTAATTCCCCTTTTGTTGTACATGCTGATAGTTTTTTAGAAGTGGCCAACATAATCTCATGATCACATTCTTAGACAATAATATCTTTCACCATGTTGCCATTCCTTTGAATTAACGCATATGAAGGAACATCAATAAATGTTTCTTCATTGTTCATTTTGATATGAACCTAATTTATGTTAAAGCATCATAAAATAAGGTGAGAGGGTATCATAGCTAGCTTTGCAGAGGAGCGGCCTATTTATCGACGCCTTTCATTCCCCCTTTTAGGCTCCTTGCTTTATTCTTTATTTTGGATTGGAGGTACTTTTTTAACATAAAAAATTGAGTTGTAAGTTAGTCTCCCAAAGGAGAGTTTGGTTTTTATTAAGCCATTGAAAATTGATAAATAGGGGATGTGGGTCTCTAATTATGAGTTTCACTCCTTATACTAAAATATTCTCTTTGTCCTCTAATCTTTCTTTTTATCTGAAAAAATATTTTTTTGAGCTAAGTTGTTAGCTGTTTGTTTTCTACTATCATTGTATTAGGCTTAATAGACCTAATACCCTTTCTTTGTCACTTAAGAGTTCTTTTCTTTTATGGCATGTAAGATCCTGGACACCATTCAAAAATTCCTCTAATTAGACTTCTCCTTTTTCTGATCATACTCTATTAATAGATTTAGTTTGATTTCTACTTACCTTTCAACCAGGACTTTTTTTGTCTTTTGATGCATGAAGTCGAATAGGCTTTTTTTAATAGCTCACTCTGGATAGAGGTTTGAGATCGGTAATGATCAAAATTTTAGCATCCATAGTGGTGATTTAGAATATCCTTTTGTAAGAATTTTCAAGCCTGTAGCTAATAATAGAAATTTAGGTTTGACTCAACTGTACAAATGAAAGCAGCTTATATAAATCACTTACAGGGAAATTCCCACTAAGATGAAGAATTGAATCGCTTGGATGTCTTGAGTATTTTATTTATTAAAAAGAATCTCATGAAGTGATGAATGCTTTCTTAATCAAAATTTCAACAAATCTCATACTGCTTATAAAGTTACACACACCAAAAATTATGTGATTGGGTTAAAGAAACCAATCTTTAGTTTTCTCGGTGTTTGCTTTATTGTCACGCTGCCTTTTTACCACTCTTCAAAGATTGACCCATTCCCTCTTTTTATCTCCTTATTGAGGAAAGCAACCCTTCTATCTCCCTCTTGGCCTTAGATGAGTTTTTAAAGGGAAGAAAATACGGTGCAGAGTGGCGCATCTGTCTTTTAGAACATTTTGTTTCCCATGTGACTAAAAGTACTCCATTGTGTGGCTTTTAATAGTGCATAGCTTAGTGATCTATCAGACTTGAATGTGATTTGAACACGATAGTTGCTTTTAGAACAACTCTATTTATAGGAGACAAGAGGCTACATGAATTTGAATGCTCATAGTTGCTTTTAGAACATAACCTCATAGTTGCTTTTAGAATGCTCAAATCTTCTAGACAAGAGGCTATATGAATTTGAATCGTGAAAAATAAACAACTCTATTTATAGGAGACAAAAATGATTCAGCCGGGGGGGGGGTGGGCTTCAATGCTAAGTTACTATTTTATAGAGACAATGAAAAACATTTTAATGTACCTAAAAAAATTCAAATTTCCTTCTATGCCATTAGATTGGCAACGCATATGCAAGCAGACAAAGTGTCCTCAAGATCTCAAAATGAACATTCCACTACATCCCTTTGACTAAGCATCTATGAAAACAATAAAATTCATGTATTTTAAAGTTATGCACGTGAATGTTGATATAACTATCACATTCAATTGCAATATCTCAAAAAACTTGCAACATTCTTAAGAAGCATACAATGCTACAAAAAGCATGCACTTTCTTGAGAAGTGTGAAATTGCTTTGAGAAGCACACAACTATCTTGGGAAGCATGCAAGTACCTCGAGGACTGTGTAAATGCACTAAAAATCAGGTGATTGCATCATGCAAATGCACAATAAAATTGTGCAAGTGTGTTCCGTAAGTGTATCGAGAATAGTGCAAGTTTATCATATAAGTGCACCATTTAAAAAAAAAAAAAAAGCATGTGGAAGACCATACAAACGCACTAAAAATGTGCAGATACATCACATAATTAAAGAATGTGTAAGTGCCTAGAGCAAATGTATCAAAAAGTATACAAGTGTATTTAAATGTGTTGAAGACCCTGCTAGTGTATTGAAAAGCGTGCAATGTATCATGTAAGAATATTAAAGAATGTGCTAACCACATAGCAAATACATTGAAAAGTATGTAAGTGCATCTTGTAAGTGTGTACAAGACCATACAAATGTATTAGAAAACGCTGAAATGCATAATATAAGAATATTGAGTAACATTAAGTGCATAGTGAAAATGCATCGAGAAACATGCAAATGCACTAAGTAAGATGGCTGAAAATCATGCAAATGTACAAGTGCATTAAAAAAAAATGTTAAATTGCATTAAGAAGCATGTGCTATGCAAAGGCATTAAGAAATGTGTGAGTGCGTCATGCATGCATATTGAAAATGTACAGAGTATTGAAATCAAAATATTTCCATGTGCACTAATAAACAAGCTTAACACGAAAATTTGAAAGTCTGAAAATATTGTGCAGATTGAAAATAAATTTAGTCTGATCCACTTTATACTAAAGGCTATACTTGACAAGACTTGAACTCGTTGATAGTTGTGTTGAAAATGGATCTTAATGTGAGGGGATTATATTTTTGAGTATGTCCCAAATCTCAAAAAAATAAAATAAAATTGTCGGGACCCATATTTCTAAAAAACATATAATTCAAATGAATGTATAAATCATAAAAATATTTCATGTAAAATTTATTTCATAAAACTTAAAGCAATAATCATCCATCCTCCATGAAAATTTATCGAGGGTGATATATATAATAATGACCTCTACTCATAAAGAGCTACTGTCTTATTAAGCATGTCATTGTATTCACTCTAAATCTATCTCTTGTTAGTAAGGATGTGACATATGGCATCTAGTTGGTGATTTTGTTGTCAAATGATGTTGCCGGTTAAGAATTATGATTGGGGCCATCTGATTTGATAGTTTTGCCACAAATTCATATCATTAAATTACAGCCACAACTAAAGCCTTTAAGTTCTAATGTCTTAAAAGCTTTGAGTAATGAATCGTGAAAATACGCTTGATAGGTCATAAAGCCATTTGTTAGTTAATGTCGACTTCACTTTGTACCATAAGACAAACATTCTCTCTAGGTTTAAAAGGTCTCCTTAGACAATGCAACTCATGGTTATTGGCCAAAATCCTTTGAATTAGGTTGGGTCGACTACCTTCTCTAACTAATAGAATATGATTCGTAATGACTTTAGGAGGACAGAAATATGACATTTTGATCGTGTTTGTTATCATTTCTCTCATCATTTGCTTTAAAAAATGGCAATAAATTTTCTTAATCCTACAACCACTAATTGTCTAATTGTTGATATTATCTACTAATCATGGAGCATCTATCTAATGACTAATCTTAATTGAAAGTTCTCTCTCGTACCTGGGAGAGGTAATTAAATATAGGGATTTGTGCTTATGGTAAACCTGAAATTAGATTATAAAGTCCTTGCAAAATGAGGATAAAATCTCTATGTAGTATCTCATCAACAACTTTTTGAAAATTTGGTCTGTAACCTAAATTCTCTCAAAGCTAGGCGTGAATTGTTGGACTCCACAGGTGGGCCACCTTTTTTTATTGTTGGCTTATTCTCTTTAAGGAAAACCTACCTAGAGATAATTCTCAAATTCATGTTTGATTTATATTTGATGGGCGACTATTCTATTGAGCTTATCGAACCATTGACCTGCATCATATCATCGTAAAACTATTTTGACAAATAGACTAAACTAGACTTTATTCTCGATTCTCATATTATGTCAATGGTTATTTGATGTGTATGCTAAAGTGGTCACCCCATTTTGACTTCTCTAAGGAACCTTCTTTAACATATATTTGGGTTGCATTCCCTCGAGTTCAATTACTTCACTTCAACCAATCTATTTTATATTCTTTATTTTATATATTTTAAAACTTTTGCAAGGGGATTATGCTACTACCCCTCTTTCTAGACCCTTTGTGGATAGAGTTTTAGTGGAAGTTGTGTTACTTCTTATTTTGAAAATGAGGTAGGGATTGGCACCTATCTTTCATAAATTGATGGACAGTATGGATTTAAAGGCATCCCATCTTACTGTTCTTCATGCAAAATTTTGGGCATAAATTCTTAAATTGTTTCAAGGTTCATTCAAAGTTGAGGAAATCTCACTATCGGGTTTAAGATGTTCAGCCACATATCTAGATTTGACCTCCTACCCCTTTGGCAGATGATACACCTTCATTTGCCTGGTTTCTCGAAATTTGAAACTAGTTTTAAACTCTAATTTGGAATTAGAGATATTTATTGTCCTTACTTGCCTAGTGTAGATGGACACTTCATTATCATCATCTACTAGTATTATCTTTGAGATTGTTCCTTCTATTTTTGGAACACCTTAGCTCCCTCGAATTTATGAGTACGACGACAATCATGATTCTCAGCAGCCCTATCATTGAAATATGAGTATTTATAGCTTGGATACTTTAGTTGATCGGAGGTCGAAATACTATTTACGAGACAAAGCACGAATTGGAAAAAAAAAATCTATCTCCACTCCCTTATATTCACAAAGATTAATGCTAGACATTCCAAATGTGTGTTTTTTTTTTTTCATATTTTTTATACTTTTTTCCTTGGCAATTCTTCATACTTTCTTTTCTTGTTCTAATCACGTTTTTGGCTATAATATTTTGCTTTTAAAAGGGAAAAAACCAGAATTTTCCTGTTACTTTTCCTTGCTAACTTAATTTATGTTTTATATGAATATTTAATTTCTCTTTCAGACAGCTGTTCGTGTGATTGCATCACAACTTGGGGCTCAGCTATGTGAATGGACCACTCCTACCCCAACATTGTGGCAAGAGCATGTACATAATATTAATTCAGGTACTTCGTATGATAGCTGTAAACTAACTAAAACAGTTATACTGCTTAGTATAGGTTGCTGCTGTGCTGTTTATATATAGTTTTCTATTAGAATTATGTCCACGAGTTTCTGTTTTTTTAGACATTCTTGTTGTTCGCAAGGTTCTATTTATCCTGTCATAGCATTCTTTTTCATTATAGCAGTAACTATTATCTGTTATTGGGAAATTCAAATGCCTCCTCTCCTGTTTTCATATGTGTTGATCTTTGTTTCCTTAACTTTGGTGGTTATAATTTGTTACTGTTGCTTGTTATGATACTCTTTTTTTTTTTAACCTTTATCTATAGTCAAAACATTGCTTTCAGTCTAATATAAATTCCGAATTTTTCATTTTTATTTAATTTTTCCTGGGTATTGTTTTATAATCACGCTGAATTGCTATTTGAAAATAGTCTCATTGTTATTATTTATGAATTCAAATTCATATGTGAAATCATTAAAGTTTCACGCTTTACTTGGTTCACATTTGGCAATGCTGTCTAGTGTTGTGCTTTGTTGTTGAGTGAAGTGGATGATTGTTTGGTTAAGTTGTTGTTAAGTTGGCTTTCTGAAGTATTTTGATAGATAAGCTTGTTTGAGTAAATGATCAAAATGGACATAACATCAAGTCCATGTATTTTAAAAATTTACTGTCTGATAGATATTTAATATAAGATTAATAATTAGTAGTTATACATAGGTTTTTTTTGACAACTGAAAAGGATATTACAGGATATAATTAAGATTAGACAAGATCATTTTTTGTTTTAAGAAATTTTGTAACTATTTATAAGAAAAGTGTATTAAGGATGAAGATAAAAAAATACTTATGGAGTTTAAAAAAAAAAGATAAAAAAATACTTTTCTTAAAAGATGATATTCAACAAAGATGAATGAGATATTTTGCTAAACTTTTTAATGAATATTGTGAAAATAAGATTGACTATAGTGATCTTAGCACCCTGCAATTGATTCAATAATACAGTAAATAAAACAAATTCTTCCCTGATAATGGTGCCAAAAACTTGATGGAGTGATTGAGTAACCTAAAGAAATTGTGAAAATGATTTATTGCTCTAACAATCCCTAAATAAAGCTTAAATTTTCTTTGATATAAAAATTATAAAAACTCACTTAATATACACAAGTATATATACTAAATCAAGTATATAGTGATAGAGTAGATATCGATCCCATGAGGACGAATATTTACTTGCAAATAATAATATTGTCTACTTCAACTACAACAATTATCATACTAATCGAAATAAGTTTGTGTGGAGATTCAATTACTTAATTTAAAATAAAATATAAATTAATTAATTGAAACACTCTTTAAATAAATAGTTTTGGATTGATAGAATGTAAAAACAATATGTTTCCTAATGATTGTCTTTTATATTAATGTTATTCAGAGCATATGCATCACCGATCGTTTAGTCAAGCGTGAAGAGACAAAGAATAGATTTAACTCTTCCAATCTCAATAGCACTCTAAACTCTCATAGTCTGTCACCCTATAAAAATCTTAGAAGAGCAAGTAAAGCATGTACTGTTAATAGCCCCTCATGATAAGTCATCTCTATAAATTTGATAAATGACAAGCACTATGCCTATACTTACATTATATCAATCGAATATACCTAGTTGTGCTTTCTTTTTTATTCCTAGACTCCACACTACACCTGATATTTAAAACACCTATAGTCATTATGTGCACTAAATGAAGACTTGGTATATTAAAAATAATATGAAATTATTGATGAAGAGAATTTATTAGTACTCCATATTTCATTGCAAAATCAATATAAAACTATAGATTTTATCCATACATATAAAGATCAAATGAAGCAAATTCATTTTCATTAATTGCACAAAAGAAAATAGAGGTATTAGATTTGACTTATGTTAAGAAAGGTAGGGGTAGACCTAAAAAGACTTGGTTAGAAAATATTAGGAATGACCTTTCTTTATTAGATTTAAACGAGAATTTGACTTTTAATAGGACACAATGGAGAAAAATGATTAATGTAGCCGACCCCACGTAGTGGGATAAAGGCTTGATGTTTTTGTTGTTGTATTTATAAGAAAAGTGTGTTTTATGAAAGCATGCTTGATCAATATTTTGATTTGGTTTTCATATAAGGTTGCTGGCCTGCCCTTTACAATTCTATAACGGTTGTTGCCTCCTGAAAAAGTTTAATCAACTTATAAAATGCATTGCCATACATGTTCTTAGACGTAACATCAATTTGCTTTGCTCTTGCAAATTCATGCAAAATAAATAAATGTGTAAATGAAGGTCACTGTACTTGGGAATTTCTACAATGACAAAATTGGTTTCACTTGCTAAATTGATGAATAAGACTTGTAGTGATTGAGCCTTGCTCTTGATTGAAAGCCTAAGTGAGGCAACGTCCGAAAAGAATGAGGTCTATTGTTGCTTGCTTCTGAAATTACTTACTCACTACTCGCTCAGCATAGTAGATTTTGATATCTTCCTAATGGCTGCTCAAGTTTTTACCTCATGCTTTTAGGTTTGGACTTATGCTTTTTACTTAAAGGGGTAATTTATCTTTTCAGTGGTTTCAACTGATACTTAACTTTTTAGGTCTAAGGTTTGTGTCAAAGTTAGATGAGTTTGAAGCCTTTGTAGGAAAGATAGGAAAGTATTCTTTGCTTTGTCCTGGCAGTTCTGGAGCATCAAGTGAACCGAATATTATTCTAATTGATGATCTCCCTGTCACAAATGGAAGAGTTGCTTTTGAGAGATTAAAGAAATGCTTAACCAGTCTCAGCCTTTCTGCTCAGCTTCCAATTATTATATTGATAACAGAATATCATAAAGTTGACATTGGTGAGAATTCAACAAATCACTGTGAAGAACTTGTGTCCTTTCTCGAGAGAGCTGGTGCTCACAAGGTAACATTCAAATCTCTTTAAAAGAAGTACATATCTTCAAGATATGGGATTATTAATCTTTTGGAAATGTAATTTTCTCTAGCTGTCTATAAATTTCTCAACATTCCTCTTGTAGGTTGCTTTCAATCCACTTACAGTAAATTCTATCAAGAAAGTTCTTTCCATGCTATGCCAAGAAGAGAAGTGTGATGTGACTCCTGAGCAAATAGATCAGATAGCTCAGGCTAGTGGTGGTGACATAAGAAATGCAATAACATCTTTACAGTACTGTTGTCTAAGGCCAGATAATTTACTCATCTCCCCTGTATCAACTCTGTTGGAAACCAATGCCAAATTTTACTCAGACAGATCTAGATTATCACCGTTTACAGGTCTTCTTGAGAAAGGGGAACTCGACAGCACATACTTTCCATGTGGAAGGGATGAAACGCTTTCTCTTTTTCATGCATTGGGAAAATTTCTGCACAACAAGAGGGATGCCGATGCATTTTCTTTCGGTATGTATGTAGAATGAATGGTCATAGTACCTTTGCATATAAAGCACAGAAGTTGAGCATCAATCACTAGTTATGAATTGACTTAGGAAATTCTTTGATAGGTTATTGCTGGTAGATGAATTGTTGACTTCACTCTATTATGGCATTGTTATTATATATATATGGGAATTGTATTGTTTTGGTTTCAGTGGCCCAGGAATGGAATTTACAATGTTTAAGAAGTATTGACATTTTTTATTTTGTAGGTTTGAGCCTTCTATGTTATATGAGTAAGAGATGCATCGATCTCATCCTTTTTCATATGCCTTTCCTTGGTCAGCTTTTGATTTATCGAAAAACTGTAGTGTTTCATCATTTGAATCTGATTTTAGACCTTGCCCTTTAACAGAAGACTTATATGTGGAGTTTAGGACACAGAAAAGTCAGCTACTAATAAATATAGCAGATATGTGGGAATTTTGAAGCATTTCATTGGCTAATATTTAGTGTTTTCTGAACACTTTTGCTCAAATTCTTGACAAGCAATGTATTGTTTGGTGCAACTCCAATGTTTATGTTTGAGTTGCAAGTTATGCATTAGAAAAAGGTTTGATGATTCCTTTTTGGCCACTGTTTTCTTTGATTATGTATTATATACACTTGTGACCATGGTTTAAAATTGCGCAATATGAGGCTTGCCTTGAGGCCCTCCTTTGTACAATTCCAGTGAAAAGCGCCTTGAGGCTTATGCCTCAAATTTTTTTATGAGGCTTGCGCCTCAACTTGGTTGAGGCCCGCCTTAAGGTACGCCTCGCCTCACTGGCGTGAGGCTTACGCCTCACCCGATATATATTAAAACTTACATAAATCCTGAAGTAAAGCCGCAAACAAATCACACTTCGTGTACCCCCTAGTCGCGCTAACTTCCTCCCAACTTCCTTAACCTCTAAACCGTCGCCATTTTTAACATATTATTTAAGTGTTGTATAAAAATTTACTTTTAACATTTATTTGCACTTAACACAATTTTTCATTATGAGGCTCACGCCTCAAAATGCCTTGAGACTTACACCTCGCCTTACAAACAAAAAACGCCTCAATACCTAATTGCCCATTTTTAAACATGGTGATGACAGTGCTAATGACTTATGAGTTCTTATGTGATATGTCATTGCTATTTTTTTTTTTTTTTTGAATTATATGTTAATGAAAAGAATACTGTGATTTGGGAAAGATGGAGTTTGAGTTGAACTATATTTGGTGTTGTCTTATTATTGACATATTTTGATTTCACTTCATATCTTGTGCATTTTTATGTTTTATATATTATTTATTCATTAGTATATACAAAATTTATCATTTCATGTTTACGCAATTTTTTGATTTTGAAGCTTACGCCTCAAAATGCCTTGAGGCTTACGCCTCGCCTCATGAATGAAAAACGCCTCAATACCCGATTACGCAATTTTAAAAATTGCTTGTGACCTCACTGTTTCATTGGGCATTTCCATCCAAATCCAGAGTCTAACTGACTTAGTCCAATTACGTGCTTGGGTTGGATTTTAGGCATTGGAAACTCTATTTGACCCATTTCGACTGAATAGTTTTTGCATTAATTGTCGATCATCCCCTGGGTGGCCTGCTGAAAAGTTGTGGCTGAAGCCAAAACTAGATTCTATTATCAGGCCAGAATATACATGGGCCAAGCTTTATAGGCACTGATCTAATTTAATTCATGTCATATTCAACCAGCCTTACCAATTCCCTGGTTTTTGTATCTGAGAAGGAAATGAGCTTCACACCTATCTATTAGTTTGTATTATGATCATCTAAGGGATTGTAATTCTAATTTGGTTGTTGTCTGATGGTGCAGGCTCAGAATCACTTATTCTTAAAGAAAAGTATTCAAGAAAGCCACTAAAAATGGATGCTCCAGAGACAATTCTTTCTCAAGCGTATGGGAAAGCAAGGCCAGTTACTGATTTCCTACATGAGAATGGTGACCTTTTATTGCTAATTTCTATTTGCATCAAGTAGCTCAGCACTCCCAGATTATGAATTTCTAAGTTTTCTTGCAAAATCTTTATGTCAACATATTTCCTATGATTTGATATCTTTATCTTCGTGTTTAGTTCATATTGTCTTAAATTTGCTTGATGCGCTACAGATTCAGTCCTGTTTATTGTTTTCTAGTCAATTACTGAGAATAGAAATTTGAAGTTGTTCAGGTGGTGCTTTGTCCAAAAATAAATAAATAAAAGAAAAAGAAAAACTGCTCTCAAACCGTACTTTGAAGAATTTATGCATTTGTTGACAATGACAATTTTGTAGGGATTTGTTCTGTAAGGATGTTGTATGACCTGCTTATGCGCTTTACATCATTTGTCATAGACTTTTTTAACTTTTTTTTTTTTTGGGGTTCGTTTTGTTGTTTACGGAACTTGTGCTTATAAGCTCACAGTAGTTTGCTTTTTTTTTTTATATTGAAATGATTATTTTATTTTGTGCCACAATTCTGACTTTAGAAACAATTAATTTTTTTTTTTCATGAAAATTAATGTTCGTGCAAGCACATTCCTATTGCCATGCAAAGGTACTTATGATTACTATCTGAGAGGTCAATGGGATATATTTGCGGGACATCTATTGCACCTTTTGCCTAATAGCTCATGTTGGTCGACTTCTAGCATATTAATTACCCTATTGATCTAGCAGTCTCAGTGATTTCGGAAGTTGCCTGTTGTATCTTTAATTGATTTGAGCTATCTTCTGTCTCAAGCTCAAGTTTAATTCTTTTTGTGTGAAGATATATTCAAGTATCAGAAAATATTTTATGTTTTGTCTCAGACCAATAGTATCTCCAAAATTAAAGTAAAGACTATCGTTGCCATTTTTAGATTATGTGTTGGAGAATTTCTGATGTGAAACTACTTGGAGTTACTTTGGAAATTTAAAGAACAATTGAATAAAACTTTGCTCACGACAAATTATTGCTTGAATCTAAAAGAGAGTAAGAATTTAAAGAAATCGACTTGCTTAGGCCAAAGACATGCAATTGAGATTAACCAAATAATTCAATCCAAGTTCAAGACAAAAGTAGATGCTAGATACTCATAACATAACCCAACGCTTAACAACGAGAGGTTCATGTTGATGACCTTCTCTCACAGTGATTAGTGGGCTTTTAGCGTAGAATAGCGAGCCACAAGATGAAAGATATTACCATGAAAGAGGCAACGCCGAAGATCTTCGTTGACGGGGAGGTAGCCGGTGGTGGAGGAGGTGGTGGATGACCGACGATTACCCAACGTCCCTGTGGAAGATGCTCTCAATTGATAACGTCAGTTGGGACAAGATGCAGTCGATGTAGTCTTCAACCGTTTCGTCGTTGCCGAAGGAGACGTCAAAGAACGGAGATCCAAATATGTCCGTCCTCCTTTGATCGTCGAATACAAATCCGTGGTCGACCTCAGGATCGGCCATGCATCATTGAAGAGATGGGGAGGGGGCGTCGTCTTCTTCTCTTGGCTTCAAATATTATGAGCAATCAAAACTTCCCAAGGAGGGAGCAAGAAGAGGGGCGGCCAAGGTAGAGAGAGAGGGGGCGGGTGGTTTGGGTGAAAGAGTTTAGGTTAGATGGAGGAGAATGAGATTTACTCTAAATCTGAAATTAAGTTCAGATTTTGAGTAATTTTGGAGGGAATCAATTTGAAATTTGAAAATCAAATTAATTAGAGGAGGGGTCTCATTTGGAAACCAAGAGGTGGTTTCCCCTTTGTATGACTGACGGCATCAATAGGGAGAGGGAGGGGATTAGGGAGAGATTAATTACTTTCCAAACGAGTTGAGGCCAATTAGGAGGGAAAAATAATAATTCCACTCTACATGAAATTTGGATTGGATTCAAATTCAAATACTTTCCTTATTTAGATTGTTGCGTATATGGAAAGTTTTGAATTTTCAAAATTTGAATTTCAATTTGAAATTCAAACTTGCTAACTTCTCCCTTTATTGTAAGAACCCAAATTAGGGTGTCGTTATGAAGATTGGAATCATCATAACGGCTTGGACTATGAGGGTGGCCGGCGGCCCAAAGGGAAGGGAAGAAGTTGCCATCGGGTTGAGGTGGGCCTTGATGGTGGTTGGATTTGAAGTGGGGAAGCTAGTGGATGAAATGGTGTGAGGGATTAATCCACGGGTGGGGATGAGCTTGGGAGGAGACGGTGGGTGGTGAGGGGAAGGAGGATGAGGGAAAAACAAAGATAAAAGAAGAAGTTACCACAAGCCGTGGACTCCTACAACAACTGGTGGGCCTTGCGCTTGCTCACCTCGAGCTCTCTCCTTTCTCTCTAGCTCTCATGCAAGAAGAAGAAGAATCAAATCAAATTTTCATTAATCAATCATAAAAAAATTACAACATATGAGACCACTCTATATAGGTCTCCACTCATGAAAGGAAAACTACCAAACTGTCCTATGGGCTACACATGACAGCTCCCTAGAGAGGTAAAAACGGAAAACGAAAAAATAATAAACAACATGAAAAGTACTAAATTGCCCTCCGGGCTACAATAACATGATAACTCCCCAAAGGGGTAAAAATGGAAAAACGATCAACTAAACAACATATCATGAAAGATGAATCAAAAGTAGAGGCGCTGAATCGAGGCCGTAGATCGGCGAGTCCTTCGTCGATAAACATGTTTGTAGTGTCTGTTGATGTCCTCATCAATTTCTCTCATACTATTTTAACTATCTTAATATACATGCTATTATTTTTCTATCTTGCATTAGAATGTATTCTAATCCTTTGAAAGATGCATCAATATAAATCAGAAATCTTTTTGTCCTTGATGGAATATTTAACACGGTGAAGTTGTCAGATGCCTTTTTAATGCTAAAAACTTCTTCTCACATTCTTCTGTCCATTCAAATTTTATATATTTTTGGTATCAATTTGGATTATAGTATAGCTATTTGTGAATACCCCTTACCAATGTCCTATAATATTCTGCCGAGTTCAAAAAACTACAAACTTTTGTAACATTTTTTGGTGCAGGTCATTTTAATTTCGATTTCACCTTTTGAGGATCCACTAAGATTTCTTCACCATTTATTATATTCCCCCAAAATACAATAACAACAACAAGCCTTTATCCCACTATGCTGGTCGGCTACATGAATCCTTTTTCTCCATTGCGCCCTGATTAATTTTAAATTCTCATTTAAATCTAATAAAGAAAGGTCATTTCTAATATTTTCTAACCAAGTGATGCGAGCAAAAATTCCATGGGGAGATGGACCCCAAGAAATTCTTGATCACCTAAAAAAAAAACAAGGGAGAGACTTAGGAACTAAGTAATAGAAAGAACAAACTCTTACATTTCATATAAAAAGACACTTACAAACTTTAAACAAACTCAAGCGACTCAAACAAGACACCTTACAACCCTTACAAACGACAAATCCTAAACCTGCTTTCCAAGAGACGAAGGATACAATGGAGTGGATACTCGCGGAGAGACGAAATAGATTAGAAGCCGAGAAGAAAGGTGAAAAGAACTCGCAAGTCTCCCCGAGAGATAGAAAAAGAAGGTGGACAAAGCTCGCAAGCTCCTCCAAGAAAATCACAAGGATTTCTTTCCAAAAATTCTCTTATATCATTACTAAAAACATTCCAAAACATCTCATATTTATAGACATAAGAGGGGAATACAAACAGCCACTTCAATGAATTCCCATAGGAACCAAAGTATCACAAACCACAGAAAAGCCCCCCCAACCTTACGGGAAACAGCCCAGCCAGGGACCCGAAGAGGCAGCCGCGGAAACCCAAGAGTCCCGCACGGAACCGAGGCACCAAAGCACGGGAAAGGCCACCCAGCAGGAAAACCAGCAACCAACCGAGGAAGCCAAGGAGCCAAGGCACGGAAACAGCCAACCGTGGGATCCAAGGAGCCAAGGCACGAAAAACAACAAGCATAGGGAATCCAAAAGCCATTTTGGAAACCCAAGGGACAAACTAAGAATTTTAAAAGATAAAACTATAAATAAAAGATACATAAATAAGATAATAAATGAACTAAAATCTAGCTAATAATGAGCTAATCTTTAGTTCAATAAATGAACTAAAAAACCAGCTCATAATGAGCTAAATTTATTGAGCTAGTAAGGTCAAGGGAAATCAAACCAAAATTTTTTTTTGGGTTTGATTTGACCCCTCCTTTGCCTACATCACCAAGTCTTTCTCAACATAAGTCAAATCTAATACATTTACGTTCCTAACTGGATCATCGGAAGGCCACTATTTTATGTGACCAAATCATCTAAGGTGACTCTCTCTAATCTTATCTTCAATTTTGAAAGGTGTGAAAAATGGGATATGAAAATTTAGGATTTTTTAATATTTCCACTTTTTTTTTCCTGAAATTTCTGAACATAGCATAACCACCATGCAACATAGCTTGATGATAACACTCATGTTTGTTCTAATGGTTGGATGTATGGCACGGGCCATGTCTATGGAGACATAAGAAATTTACTGGATTTCCTTCTCAATTAACTTGGTGTTTGAAGAGTTTAAAAAAATTATTATTCTAGACAAGGCGTCCAACATCACAGGATAGCAGTCTTACTGAGCTGAGTTAGATTTGGTCTCATAGTCGAACAGGGATGCCATTCTCACATCAGTTTCTTCATCCAAAGAAAATCCAGATCCTGTTGAGTTTTATCAATGCTCAAATTATTTAGTTATTCGATGTTTCTGATGGGTAGAAACGCGTAGGAGAAAAGTATTAATTATAAGTAAGGTCTATATTATTGGATGTTATAACTGGTAAATAAGATTCCTATCAAGGCAAGGTTTGAAATAGTACCCAAATTTTTCCTAACACAGTTGTCAACAGTGCTAAGCATTTTCAAGGGGATATCGATTATGACTGCCAAAGGCATTTGACAGTCAACTAGTGAAGTGAGGCCTTGATAGATAAATAGCTGTTGTGCTTAATAATCTTATTATAATTACCAGAAATATTTTCTAAGAGTATATAGTGATAATATTCCTATCAAATAATGTTGGACAAAATATTAAAATTTAAACTTTCATGTCTTCTAAAATAAAAAAAAAATGAAATTACTGAATATATAATTGCAAACAAAAGCAAAAACAAAGTACTTTTAAGTTATTACAAATGAGATCAATTTAATAGTTTCATTTCATCTGCTTCATTTGATGGATATGCTATATAACCTAATATTTTCAAGCATGATAATCGATTTATATTATTTCTGTTATCGACCAGTTCTCGATTTTATAAATGATGGATCTATTGATGATGCTTGGTTGGTGACTTCTTATTTAAGTGACGCGGATTGTCTTCTTGGTAGTTTTTCTCCCATATCTCGCCTGGGGATATTTTCTGACATGTATGAATCACAGAGTTTTTCTCAATCAGTTGCTTCTTCAGTTGCAATCCGTGGTGTTTTATTTGGAAATTCACAGCCATTGTCATCAAGGTCATAAATTACTAATATATTTTGTGTGTTCTTTATGCTATCTAAATGCTTATATGCTCTGTGGTTTGCAATACCACAGATGGCACACTATTCGGAGTCCAAGGCTTTGGCAAATTGAGAATTCAGCAAAGAAGCTTATGGTATGTACTTTTTTGTCATGATTGTTAGATCATATGCTTTTTACTTTTTTTTTAAATAACTGAAAGATCACCATAGCTAAGCTTTTCAGTTTTGAAATAGCTTTTTTCTTTACTCTACGGGCAGAGTTTAACCGTCTTTTTTTATGCATCTGATTCTGCATGATATTTTTGTTTTCATGGTTCGCTGCGTTCAATTGTTTGGCAACTCTTGAAACTCAACTTTATAGCTGAAATGATATCCTGCATTCATAGCGTTATGTCTTTCAATTTTCATTATAAATTTTACGTTTTGAAATTTGATAAATACAATCTATTCTTGTACATCTATCATCATCATCATCCAAATCTCATAAGGTTATTTTAATTATTTTGTCTTTAGTAGATATCATTCTAAGCATGCCTTTAATATAATCATTCTTTAATTTGTTATTTTTAGTTATGTTGAATATTTATTTCACATTTTCATTTCTCTTAAGCTTAACTTAGTTATCAACTCTTTTTTATTGCGCATCACTCATACCATACATCATAATCAACCTAGTTTCACCCTTTAGCAGATTATACAGACTTAAAGGTAAACTTTATAAACTGTAATTTGGGTAGTTATGATATTTGAATTTGGGTGTTAAGAAATTAAAAAAAAAATGTCATTGATAACTTTATGGCTTTATCTTATTACACGATATTCTTGAGGCAGTTATTCATTTTAATCTTCTAGCTTTATTTCTAGAAATTATATCTTGAACTATCTTTTTTTTATGTATATCAAAGCAAAGATACTTAAACCTATATATTTGTGATTTTTATTAATTAATAATATTGCCTAGTAATTATTTATATTAATGCTCAGTCTTTGTTTTATTTATATATCAAAGCAAAGATACTTAAACCTATATATTTGTGATTTTTATCAATTAATAATATTGCCTAGTAATTATTTATATTAATGCTCAGTCTTTGTTCTAGCAGTAAGCTCAATAGTCCCTCATCATATAATTTTAAGTATTTTGAATTTTTTTTTATAAAAGACTGAGGATATAATCATATAGATGAGGATATAATTTTTTGTTATTAAAATTGGGTGGTTAAATGAAGAAAAATATTTCAGTCTTATTATATGATAAGAGGATATCATGGAAATTTATAGATAAAATTTATGAAGATTGCAACTAGGATGATGTTTTGAATCTGAGTATTTGATAGTGAAGAAGTTATAGATAACTAAACTTAGCAGTAAATAAAATGAAAATTTTAAGATGTAATGGAGGGGTGAGGAAGAGCTCGACATACATAACTTGGATTGATCCAAATACATACACAATTTGGATTTTAAGAACACTCAAGTGGTCTCACAAATAATCAAATTTAATTCATCCTCACTTAATCAGCCTCTCAATAAATGCTCTAAAAATTTAGGGCCCCGGCCTCTTTGCATGATTTCGGGGAGAGTTATAATGGATTAAGTTTTAGGAGAAATTTCCGAAAAAAAAATTGGTTATAGATAAGACATTGCCTAAAGATTTTGTCCTCATTTATAAGGACTCTAAGATCGTAGTTCAGGTTTTTCATAAACGTGAGCTTTTATGATTACTTATCTCTCTTATTAATGAGAGAACACTTTCGATTAAGGTTAGTCTTTAGATAAATACTGAGTACCTAATGTATAGTAGCAATAAATTTAAATTGTTAGTATTAGAAATTGTCACTTTGCATTTAAACTGGATTATGGGGGGCAATAATAATATACTTAATCAAGATCCCTGGTTTTTCAACTTGCAATCTTTGAGAATAAATTTTAATGATATTCTCTATCGGGCATTTATTCTTTTTGACGGGTCTGTTGAGTGAAGAGGTGGCTTAGGAGGTAGGGTAATGGAGTAGAGTAGGTGGGTGTATATGGAGGTTTCGTTGAGGTTGATGCTGGTCAGCGGGTGATGGAGTTTTGAAAAAGGTTGCAAGAGGCCACAGGGGTGATTTGTTGGGTTTTGGGAGCAGGTGATAGGAAGGTTGTGAGGTGGCAAATTAGGGGATCTGACTTGCAAATTGGAGAGGAAAGAGTGGTGAAGAGTTGTGCCAGTTTTAAGTTAGAAAAACTTGTGTTTTAATTGTGAGTTTTTGTGTGAAAGTACTCAGTTTTTTTTTTGTTTTTTTTTTTAGAAAATTCTCAAGGTGGAGGTCAAATAAAAGAATTTTTTGTGTAACACCTCAGCAATGTCGCAAGGAGAGGAGTTTTTTGTTCTAAAGATGGAGAAGCCAGCACTGCTGCACCGAACATCCAGCCCCACAGTGCTAGTCCCTCCAACGCTGCAGTGATCTGAGGGGGAAATAATAAGGATCAAGATAGAAAGCATGATGCTGAGGCGATTTGCCATTGAGTTGCATTTGCGGCGATTTTGATCAGAAGATAGGGTTATATATATAATTCAATTAGAAAAACATAATGAAGATAAAAGTAATGTGAATCAACACACTAGCATAATTTTCTCGTCCCACATGATTCTTGATTTTCATGTCATCGCCTCACGTACGGGGAAATTTTTATTTTTTCACATTGTGCGGTGACCTAAGTAAAAATGTCACATTTTTTGAGTAATTTTGTTGGCTCTGACGTAATGACAAAGTCCGTTTCGTGAATAGGCAATGTTTGGAAGAGATCACGCAAGGTTGCATCTATAGTCTATCATTTTTGAGTGGCTTCGCTCGAATTGAATGTGAGGGGTCCAATTTGGGGTATTTTCGACGTTCTAGTTGTACGACAGTTTGCTTCGTGATTAGACGTTTGGATAATTTTTGTACAATGACGTGCCCACTCACTATTGTGCTCATCATCTCTTGTTCGAGCCTTGCCCGAAGATTCTTCTTGGATAAATTTGACGTCCCGGGCACATTGTCACACCATTTTTGCAAATAGCCAAGCGATTGAATGAACTTGATAATGGTCAGAGGCATTTTGCAGCTTGTTTCATGTGGCATCAGAGTTTTTTCAAGTTCACTACGCCTGATGTTTTTTTGATTGGTCATTATTTCCTTTCGCACTCGCTCTCATTTGATTTTGACATGGATTCTGAAGTCAACTCTTATTTATAAAAATAGGGTTTCTAGGTATGCTTAATTACTTTAAAAGCAAAGTTAATCCTAACAAATTTTCAAACTTCAATATTATAGTGGAACTCTTCTACCTCCCTATACACTCCGACCGAACCGCAAATCCCACGGAGCAATTTAGGAAGGATTTTTTAGGGAGTTAGGAGGGATATTTGAATGTAGGGACTATTTAGAAATTTTCTTTTGGATTGTATGTATTAAATAGTTTGTTTTCCTAGGGTTTGAGCATCTAGAATTTGGTGGACACTTGAGATTTCTTAGTTTCTTTGGGCTCTAGCGACGTTTAGAGATTTGGCAGAGAAAGATCCTCCTCTCGAATAACGGATCAATTGTATCTTGGTATTTTCCGTTTCCCTTTCATCAAGATTGTTTCGTGGTTTTGTGTTGATTTTTGTGGATAATTCTCGCTGTTTTTCGAAGATTGATAGGAAATACTTGAGATCTACAAGTGTTTCCTGTCACAATAATAGTTGAAAATGCAAGGGCAAACCTCTTATTCCTATCAATCTTCGGAAACCCTAAAAAAGGATCAAAGCTACTATGATTTTTTTTTTAAAATTTATCTTCTTTCCTTCTTTCTGCATTCTGCAGAACCAAACGATGAATGAGAAATTTGACGCCTTCAATGGTTTCGTTTCATCCATGTCTCAAATAATTACCGAGTACCGACCGTCAATTAGATGGTTCAATTCCCATTGTAAGGATCGTCTTGACAATGAAGAACTCGCAAAATCGTCTGCCCATAGCCGTCCAGATGATTCAGAAGACGGCACTTCGAAGGAAGATAGTGATGACGATATAGAGGATTGGTAGGCTCATTATGTCGTTGCTGCAACTTCAGGTACGCTGCTCTCTGACATATTTCACTTGGAAGGGGATGGCTTTTTCTTCTTGAACACCATTTGATTACTGTAAATAATGATTTTAAGGTCTTGAGAATGCAGTTGTATAGGATGGGGTAAAGGAGGGATTAACGAACATCAATTTTGTAGAATCATTACGTTGCTACTAATCAAAATGGTGAAAAATGACTAGAAAAGTTTTTAGGTAGAAGGTTTTAGTTTATAGCCTATTAAAATTAATCAAGTCCTTGATTAAATTTCAAATTTCTTATGAAATTGAGAGTATTTTATCAATAAAAAGATTATACAAAAACTTTTAATTTTCATTACACTTGGTACTACTATATTCAATGATTTGTCCTCACCTTATCATGCGTCTGTTCTACATCAAATATAATTAATCATTTAGGCTTCGTTTGACTTCGTTTGAGACGGTAATTTTACTATTTTTTAGTACAATAAATTTTTGTTCAAAAAATTTTTATATTGAAAAGTTTCATAAAGCAGTAAGAAAGTTGTTTCAAACGAAACCTTAGTGATAAAGCTGCCGTGTTTGAGTGTTTTTACAATATATATACAAGAGAAGGAAACTGCAATTTGAAATTAAGCATCAAAGAGTTACTTCTGTGCAATTTGAAAACTATGAATTCTTTGTAAAAACAACTCGTTGAAGATCACAGATCGAATGAATGTTGACAGATTTCACTAAGGCCTTGTTTGATTAAGCTTTTTTTCTCAGTTCTCCATCTTAATAAGCCGAAATCTATTACGTCCACCTGTTTGGAATCAAAATTTAAGCGTAAATTTTTTTCGCTAAATTCCATTTTCTCGTCGGTTATAAAATTCTTTACATATCTGCTTATTCCATCGCCAATCGGACTTTCGGCAGCAAAAAGTCCATAAGTTTTAAAGTATTAGTCTAGATATTATAAACTTGTTCATAACTGCTACATAGTAAAGATTGCGTAAATAAAGTGAGGATAATGTTGTTTATGATATCATGAACTTTTTTCTTGGCTACCAATACAATGAATAATGAATAATACAATTAGCTTTCGATGTCAGCTGCGTGATGATCTGTTCTGAATAAGAATGTTGACACCATGAACAGTTATTGGTTGATTCTTCAGTTTCTTATTGATCAATGCTGGTAGTCTAAAATTATGGTGCAAAAAAAAAGAAAAAAAAAATTTATGAGTATATGCTGATAAAATTTGCTTCAGACTAAGCACAAATATCTTTGTATTTGTATTGAGATTTATGTTTATATATGACATGATGAAATATATTAATCTCAATATAAATTCAAGAATTTTAAGTTGATAATGATGGAATTTTTTCCATAATAAAGATCCTTATGTTATTAAAAGTTCAATAATTATATTTAAAAATGTCTCTTATAATGAAATATTAGTTCTTACTCCATTTTACAATGTGCAGTTAAAAAGACACATGAACCAACTCAATCGAACTTCTCTATCAAGTGGGCTACAATTTATATAATTAACTATAACAAACCCTAGAAATTATAATCCACAAGAAATTTTCAAGTTGCGGATCGAGCTCCGACTCATTAGTTGAAGGTAAAATTCTCTCACGTGATACCCGTTTGAATCACTCAAATTGTACAAAAAAAGTTTTGATGTTGATTTGAGCTTGATTCGGTTCGAATCATTCAATCTCAACTTGAAATCTACTAGAGAACAAACAAAAATATTTGAGATTGAATTGTGTTTCAGACCAATTTTATTTTGATTTCACTCCGGATGCTTTTTTTTTTTTTTAACAAAAAACTTATATTAAAAACTCCAAAACGGTTACAACAGAGGACAAAACTCAAAGCGAACAGAGAAAGAAAAATACAATCAGATATGGCTCAGTATAACGACCGAGGCTCCAGAGTCCCTGTATCCTCGCACGGACCGTCCATACGGGTGAAATCATCGCCCACCAATCATCGAAAAACACCGAAGGTTGCCACCAGCTTGGTCACAGGGACACTAGCCCCAGTCACATCATCGCCTATAAAAACAACGAACACAACCAGAAAGAAAAAAGAGGGGAAATAACAAAGAAATCATCTACGATTTCGCCCCCTCCCGCGGCCCCGACCGCGCAACCTTCCGTTAGCCCGAGAAACCAATGTGAAGTCTTTACCAGGATCGGAACCACCGTAAAAATCAGGATCAGCCACATTACAATCCGAAAATTCAGACCCAGATTCATAGTCGGACACCCAATCCCCCTGGTAATCGGTAATAGGAATAAAACCCATCCTCTGAACCAAATGTTGCGAATCAGCCAAGTTGACAAAAACATCTACAAGATTATTTGAACAACTAGAATTGTTACCCAGATTGTTATCCACACTAAAATCATTATGCTCAGCAATATTATTTTCAGTAACAGCTTTAGGAGATGAGTGAACCAACTGATCAGAAACCACTAAAACAGGGCTGCCAACCACCGCAAGCCCCATTTGCCCCACAACACCAGAAACTTCCAGCAGCGACGGAGCCAAAACAGAAGGGGAAACAACATCATTAGCCTCATTAGTCTCAAACTCATTATTTAACACACCACCAATCGGACAAACAGCACAATTATCCGGAATAACAACAATATTATCACTACCATCCACACCAACATTGGGGATAGAAGAAATAACCGGAATAATAGGAATCGATAGAGAAGAAGGAACAGACTTAATCAGCGACGGAACAGAGGGCTCCGATTTCTTAACAATAGGATTCAGCTTAGGACATTCAGCCTTTTTATGACCAACACATTTGCAAAGAAGACAGAAATTAGGCATATCTTCAAAAATAACCTTTTGCACATAACCTAATTTTTCTGGTCCTAACCAAATAGAGTCAGGAAATGATTTGGAAATATCAAGTTCAACTAGAATGCGCGCAATAGAGGGACGAGAGCCAACTGTCGTAGCATTGTCAGTTTGGATAGGCCGACCAAAAACAGAGCCCAGGCCAAAAAGAATACGCGAAGAGAATAGATGAGGTCTCAAACCCGGAAAAGAAATCCATACAGGAACAATAGGCGACTCATCCGCAAGATCCAAAGTAGGAGACCACTTTATAATTTTCATAAAACATCCATACACAAAATATGAACGATGAGCAAAGATCCTACCATAATCCAAATCGTTAGATAGCTTAATTAAAACATTGGATTGATCCAGCAAAGTAACAGAGAAATCACCGATTAATTTAAGATTGAAGAAAAACCTACGGATAGCATCCAAAGCCGGACGTTTAAGATGAAACTTTCCAACTAGAGCAAAATCGAAAGGCTTAGCAAGGTCTAAAAATTCCTCCTCCGAAAACCAAAGAGCAGGCATACCCCGAACCGTAGAAACACGAAGATCCGGGAAAGCATTCGCTTCAACATATCCGGACAAAGCATCTTTGAAGGATTTGGAACTCTTACCAGCCAGGAAACCCGGGTCTAACCTCTTGTTGGCCATGGAAGCAAAGGCGAAGGGAAGGAAACGAAAGGCGGCTAAGGAAAAAGCCCTAGCGAACGAAACCCTAACAGACGAGGAGACCCCTTCACTCCGGATGCTTAATTAGCTCAATTTTGAGTCGATTTGAATATGAATTCGGCCAATTGTCTTCTTTTTATTTTCCTCTTAAATTTAATATTGTTTAATATGTTAAGCCAATCGCAAGTTATTATGATTTAGGTCTCGTTTGAAATGACTTAATTTTGTCTTTTCTGTTTTGAAATGGTAAAATTATTTTTGGATTGCTGTTCGTATGTGACACTTTTATAAAACTACTTTTTAAGGAATTTTATTTTTATACTGTTTTCAAAAGCTTTTTAATATTGACTTCTCTTTTATAAATTTCCATTCTCTCAAATAAAATTTTAAAATTATCTTTTACAAAAGGCAATGGATAATCAAACGAAGGCTCAATTGGAATCCAACTCAATGTAGCTCAAGGATCGAACAAGCTGAAAAATTGTTCAAGGCTCAACTTATTTGACGTATTCAAGTCTCAATTTACCATTGTATATTTTTATTTTTATCATAAGATACTGATTTCAGCATAAATCCAAGGGCTAATAAGACTTATGGATATAGTGCCATTAGGATATGCTTCCTTAATTTTATCCAATATCTATTAAAAATAATCATTTATAAAAATTTATGAAAAAAAATAACTAAACTAAAAAATAAGCATAATAAATATTTTGAATATTATTAGCAATAAATTTTTTTCTTCTCATATAATACACAACAAATATAATAAGGAATAATACATATTAAAAAGACTAGACTGAAAAAAAAAAGAAGAAGTGACCTTCCATCTATTTAAGGTAAACCTTTAACCAACAAATAAATAATTAATAGTTCAAATATAAATTATAAAATAAAAGAAATGAATAATTTAAAATTTGCATAAGCTCACAATTAATGCTTGTAAGCATCATTTGATATATAAATTGAAAATTCTCCCTTCTAGAAGCTATGCTTTGGCCCACCATAATCCTTAATCAATATTGGATTAAAAATTAAGTTAAAAATTAATTAATTAATTAAGCAAAAGTGGGAAGTTGGGATGTAGTTATCCAAGTTGTGCTTTTAAACCATCAAAAAAAGTTGGAACAATGGTTTAGTTGGTCTAACGGATTTAAATTAAGGATTTGGCTTATTTTGGTGTGTTAGGTAGGTGAAGTTAGTGAGTTCTTATTAACTATGGCTAGCTTTTCATTAGAGAGAGAAATTAACTATAGGGGTCATTATAGAAAATGAAAGACCACTCACTTAACATTGATTATGTGGCTCACTTTCTATAATGTTTTGTGTATTTTTTAAAGATAATTTGATTATTAATCCATTGTATAAAAAATTTTATAATTGTTGTGTGCTTAAAAGTTTGAAGTGGTAGAGTGTGAAAGTTCTACGTTCTGATTTTGCATAAAAATTCCACATATAAATAGATAAATGACAATAGAATGGGCGATAACAAAGTTTTTATTTGGAAAATTAAGGAATGAGAAAAATCACAGGGTCTGACAAGTTCAAATAATTTCACAATGTGAGCGTTAATTATAAAGAGTACCACCACTTAATTTGAAAATGTCATGGATATAGGAGTATAGGGTGAGCTAACAATAAATATCGCAAAGTTAATATGTGATGAAAGATGTTTGGATGGTTGTGGATAGGTTATAATGGTCAAG